AAACTACTCTTCATGTATATGTCAGTTAGTTATGACTATGTCAAATGTTTTGGTGTGTATATAGCAGTGAGTGAGTGAGTTTAGTTTTATGCCACACTCAGCAATATTCCAGCTGTCTGTAAATAATAGAATCTGGACCAGATAATCCAGTGATCAACAGCATGAGCATCAATCTACACAAATGGGATGCAATGATATGTGTCTGAAGCTGAGGAAATCTAGACTTGCCACATTTTCTAGACTTGCGTGGGCTTTCTTGGATATATTTGCTTCAGGGTCTGTACGACAGACTAAGACGAACGCTTGGTCTCTGAATATACAGTATGTCATTTTGATAGTAACAACAAACCGAAACACGAGTCTCATTAACCAATTCAGACAATGACCTACTTTTCAGCCGATCCGAATGTTCTCGTGGAAAAGTTAAAAGAGACACTACGAACAACTCTGGTTACACTGGATTCGAATTATTTGCTTCATAAAAAAATGGTATTTACAAATTAATCTTAATTTGTACGTTTAATAAAATCGTATTTCTATATTTAATGTCTAGTTATAGGCAGCATGTCGTTAACTAAGACGTCACAGACTGCCCCTGTTAGAATAGGTCGTATACAATGATTCACAATTCATCTGGCTCAATGGTTACACCTGTTATGTGTTCTTTGCACTAATTAAGTGTATTTTTGTAACGTACAACATGATTGATATAATGTCAAGGCCGTAAAAGACCGCCAAACTTTTCTAGCGGCCGAGCCTCGTTTTGAGATTTCCACGATTTCCAGAGTTCTGTTTGTCAGACCACGCTGCACGAAGTGTTTGCAAGGATTAGAAAGAGCGTTGGGTTGCAATATGCAAGTGATTAGATGGATCAAATAATACGGATTAATATCTATATATCCAGTTGAATGAGTGGGTCTCAAAATTCTTGACTGGTTATTGTACTAAGTTGCGCCAATAGACGGAACCCAGTCAACAGGAAACGAGACAGTTGTGTTATCAATGTTTTGACTTGCAAACCCATGCAAATTGAAAAGGAGCCCCATCAGTGAGACCCGATATTCAGAACCTGAGGAAATCTACACTTGCTTCATTTACGGCTTTAGCATTGTAGGGAGAGCTAGGCAGTATGGGAAATAGTGTGGTTCAGGGACTGTGATACAGACTACGTTAGACTAAGACTAGGTCTGAACTGCCTGTATTGAAATCGCCCAAAGTGAAGCAGGTCTATACATTTTCCTCAGATTCAGAGTCTGTTATCATCTGAAACAAAAACTAACTGAAGTCAGGGGTCTAAATCTGGTATCTCATTGGGCACGTTTTCAGTTTAAGTTTTGGTTTCTAACAGAGTTTTATAGTTTCAAAAACTAAGCGTTAGTCTGTCATGGATATGATGGAAGTGTAGACTAACATTTAGTCCCTGAAATGAGGGTAGCCTAGTGGTTAAAGCGTTGGCTCGTCACGCCGAAGACCCGAGTTCGTTTCCCCACATGGGTACAATGTGTGAAGCCCATTTCTGGTATATCCCTCGCAGTGATATTGATGGAATATTGCTAAAAGCGGCGTAAAACCATGCTCTCACTCTCCCACTCTGAAATGATAATATTTTACAGAAAAAATAACCAGTTCAAATTATAATCATTAAATATAATGAAAAGGAGCCCAGAGACTTCCTTCATTTTCAGAAACTGTAGTAGTCTAGATTTGCCACATATTATAAACTTGCATGGGCTTCCTTGGATATATACTGAAAGCCATTAAAAACGCAATTGGTATTTGTTGTCCTGAAACTTACAAAGGTTCTATTGAAGATTTTTTTCCTGCGATACAGAGGATATAGGGATAAAAGGCTGTCATTCTGCGCCCATTTCGAGTTCGAGTCCCGGAGCATTCCTCTCACATGAACTTTGATACTTAAAACTGAACCTTTGACATTTCTCGTAAACACAACCACATTCATGAAACACGTTGTGCACATGCATTACCTGCACCCAGGCCCTGTAAAAGCACAAGGAATTGAAGACTCAATCACTTTGAGAAAATGCCACACTTGACACAAGACGAAAGGAATCAGGTTATCGGTATGGTCAGCCAAGGTGCTTCAGATGTGATGATTGCCAGGCACTTTAATGTGCATCCATTCACTGTAAGTCGACTCAGACAACGTTTTCGGGCTACCGGAAGTGTTGCTGGTCGTCCGCGACCTGGTGCCATTATTAATATTTTATTTACAGGTTGTAAATAATTTACATGCTCCTCCATCCATCCATTCATCCATCCTTCCATCTATTCATATACATTTTTCTTCTTGATGGCAGCGTGGTACTTTTACAGAATGACATTTCTGGAGTTGACAGGGCTAATTGATACGTGTATACAAAATGCCTCCTGCCCTCTGATAAAACTGATAACACCAACCAGCTACAGATGTGAAATGAATGTGCTTGTATAGCTACCCTTATGATCAAAACAAAACAAACTCGGTCACCTAAATATTTACATTAAGACTCCATTCCGAGACTCCACTCCAAGACCCCACTCCAAGACTCCACTCCATGTTTTACAGTATGCCGATACAGACTACGTTAGACTAAGACTAGGTCTGAACTGCCTGTATTGAAATCGCCCAAAATGAAGCAAGGCTATACATTTTCCTCAGATTCAGAGTCTGTTATCATCTGGAACAAAAACTAACTGAAGTCAGGGGTCTAAATCTGGTATCTCATTGGGCACGTTTTCAGTTTAAGTTTTGGTTTCTCACAGAGTTTTATAGTTTCAGAAACTTAGCGTTAGTCTAATGTCATGGATATGATGGAAGTGTAGACAGTTAGTCCCTGAAGTGAGGGTAGCCCAGTGGTTAAAGCGTTCGCTCGTCACGCCGAAGACCCGAGTTCGTTTCCCCACATGGGTACAATGTGCGAAGCCCATTTCTGGTATATCCCTCGCCGTGATATTGCTGGAATATTGCTAAAAGCGGCGGAAAACCATGCTCTCACTCTCTCACTCTGAAATGATAATATTTTACAGAAAAAATAACCAGTTCAAATTATAATCATTAAATATAATGAAAAGGAGCCCAGAGACTTCCTTTATTTTCAGAAACTGTAGTAATCTAGATTTGCCACATATTTTGAACTTGCATGGGCTTCCTTGGATATATTTGTTTCAATTTATGTAAAAATGTTTTCTCAAAGGGCCTGTATGACAGACGAATGGAAGAGCTAAGGTAGTGGTATAAGATTATTTGATTTTCACGAGCTTTCATGGCAGTACACTAGACTAACGCTTAGTCTCTGAATATACATAATTTTGATAGTATGAAACAAGCCCATTTAAATTGAAAAGGAGCCCCAGGGAGACCAGAGATTCAGATTCAGAACCTGAGGAAATCTAGACTTGCTTTATTAGGGCTTTAGCACTGCAGATAGGGCTTGGCAGTAGGGACAATAATGTGGTTCAGGGACTGTGAGACAGACTAGGTAGTACACCAGCACGTGAGGGCTGAGCAGCTATGGAGACTGTACGTCACTAAAAGCGCGAGACTGTGTGAGACTAAATTCCTCACGGAAATAGAAATAACATGTTTTTTAGCGTTTATATCGTAGTTTTCAACACAACTAAAGTTTGATTGTTAAATATTCTATGACTATCGTTTTTCCCAACTTGTTTTGAACACTTTTGTAAAATCATCCGAAATAGATTAGTTTACTGGAGAACAAATCCTGACATTTTTACCCCTTGAAATTTCATCTAAATCAAAATGTACGTTTCTGATGCAAGCTGTAGTATGCAAATGAGATGCAAATAAGTTCACGTACATAAATTATTTGATGAAAAACGTCATATACCATTCATCCTTTATTTCTTTTATCCTAAATGATATACAAAATAATTGATTTAGGGATTTCTCAGTACATTTTTCATGCCTGTACTCTTGTTGAAAGGTTACTATTTTTACGAGTTCATTCTTAGCTTTGATTGTCAATTGCACAATCGCAATGGCAACACACGTGCAAATGCATCTTCCCGTCTAAACAATACTGCTGGTAGTTGTTACCACCCATTGTTGATTGTGACGTAAGTTATAACATGTTTCTAAATTTGTTGATAATATGCAATTCTTTGTTATTTTTACCTGTAAAATGTTATTTTGGATGATGATAGGAAGTCCAAATTAAAACGCCTAGTTGGGAAAACATAGTTATTTTAATATTTGTTAAAACTACCTATTTTGATGAAGTAATAAACAAATAATTGCCAAAACCATTTTATTTCTATTTCCGTGACTACTTTTAACACTCGGTCTATGAGAACACTTCTATAAAATAATTTAATTTAATTTTTTCAAAAGATCCTTTGCTGTTTTCATTGGGGTATAAAGGAAAATTATTCTCGACGTTTAGTAAAAAAATATAGATATATATTACAGTCATGTGCACGGTTGCTAACTCCCAACGATGTGACGTTCCAATAACACCAAATAATTCTGAAAACTTTAAATGTTTTCTCAAAGCACCCATCGACGTCATTGGGGACTTACTTATGCATATATGCCGTTTTCGTTTAATCAATCACAGAGTAAATGTAATCAAGATCCGGGAAATAATGTACCTGCAATGTACTAGGTGGTCATGATTCTACAATCCACAATCATAATGGACGTAACATGGCTATCGGGTTCAATGATACCGTCAATATAATATGAAAAAATATGAAATAATTTTAGTACATGTTAAAAATACACCCGACTCAACTCTTTGGTGAGGTTTTATGTCCTTCCTTAATATATTACAGAATTAACGTATATCGGACCTGAAAGGCCGTTTCTCAATGTGTTGGGGGTGGAGGTGATCTGCGATGCTTAATCCCCCTCTCATCACCCCAACCCCCACCCCCTGCCCGCGTCTAACCATCCGCAAACGAGCTGCATATTTAGACGGCATCAACGCAAGAGGGCGCTGTGACATTTTTTCCCTTCGACCTCTGACCTGCACGTGGAACCGAAGACTCAAACCCACTTGTTGGTGACAAGGCTGGTGCAGACAGAAAGGTCCTCGCAACACAAATTCAGGCAGGTAGTGTCTTTCTTGAGTTTTTGTTTATCACTGTTCCTTGGGATTGTTGCTTTATCCAAACTTTATGTGGACATAGTTTAGGCTTCAAATTTGTTGACCCAAGACGTAACTTTGACAAGCGTTCATTCCACTTGTTCATTGCCGACATTGACGATTTGTGTTGAACAGCGCCCATCGTTTACGATTGTATTAATAGACTCAAGAATATGACGTATATATAAGCAGTTGCGTAGCTAGTTCTGTTGCAGATACCATTAACAATAAGCGATTATCCGAGCTGTGGTATGTCCACTTATTGGAACTCTTATTAATCATTCATAGGCTGTGACTACAGGCTGGTAGGGCGCAAAGAACACGTTCCAAATTAGATTCTAGCAGTGTATTATTTAGTCATCTGGTTTACATAGGTAAACTTTGACTCCACAACCATGCCACTTGTTTATTTTCACGTTGAGCGCATTATACCATTTGACCAAATCAAGGCGTCAAGAACTTGAGCGGACAGCCTGTTTGTATTTACACGACACGAGAACGGTTGGAATTCTAGCGCAACATAGATGGAAGATAAGAAAGAAAACCGACCCACCCACAGCAATATATTTTGCTATTCAAACCATGTGTAATGGAATGTTTACGTCTGTGAATGGTTTGTGTGGAAACATCAATTTCTTAACTTTTCATAGTGTAAATGTAATTTTGTAATCAGGTCAACATCCCTTTACTTTAATAATTTTTAATATGTAGATAATATTGTACACTCCTTCATATGCAAAGTTTACATATAAGTGAAAAAGTATTGTAAAAAACAAATTGTACAAGTCATGTTTACAAAATCAAATAATCCTCAGTCATGAAAGAGTGGAACATTGTGCTGAAAAACTAATTATCAGGTGTTATCCAGAAACAATTTTCTAAAAGGGTTATATCAATAATTTAAAGAATTTCTTACATGTTCAACATTTCCATATTTTTTTTCAATTCTTATCTGTAGTTTTTATATGTGACATATTACATTCATTTGGGCTCCATGCCTCAAGGCAAGGAGACCTATTGTAATTAATTGTTCAAGTTATTATTAGGGCTCTTTGCCTCAAGGCAGGGTGACCTATTGTAATCGTTCGGATTATTATTATTATTTATTATTTCGCCGTATTTTGTACCAAACATAGCTCCTAAACAAGTGCTCATGATCGCTTCCAAAAACTCACCAAGGTGCCCACAGTGCTGATGTTGATTGCGCCCAAAACTCAGGACTCTAGGCCCAAAAGCAAAGGGCAGATAATTCAAAAATTTCTAGACCAATAATCTCCAAAACTACTGGTCCAAAGACCTCCAAATTTCTGGTACAGGTCCGGAATCAGAAACCCTACAATTTCAAGTGTAGGACCAATATAGCTACAAGGCACCGTTTGGAAGCTATATTGGATTGAAGTTTTGGGCAGTGTTTTTCACCTTTTTTCTGAGTACTTGTCTTCCAAATGTGCTGAGCTCGAACCATCAGCTCCAGAGCTTCCAAACTTTCCATAACTAATGTCCAGTAACCACTGTGGAAATTGTGCACAGAAAGTGCAAGGATATGCCTTCGATGGCCACCATATTTAGTACTACCGGGCCAAAGTTCTCTTCAAAAACTTTCTAAGACTTCTTCACGATTTTTTCAAAAGCAAACTTTCCAGGTAAAAGTCTTGAAAAAGCTGGTTATGATGTCGCCTGTGGTTGCTGTACATAGTCATATGTCAGAAGTCACATGGTTTGGTGCCCATATTGGATTTCAGATGTTCAGAAGAAATTTGCCGTTTTTGAATTGTAGCCATTTCCGCAATCTGTAGCTCTGAATGTATGAGCTACAGAACTTTGAAAATTTGCACATATAGTGTCCATACCTCAAACATGAATAATCTGGGACGGTGTTTCGATATCTTGATTTGCGGATATCTAGATGGTTGTTTCTATTGTTTCTGTTCTCCTAAAATTAGTTATAAAAAAATGGTACCTTCTTTACTATTTAAGATACGTTGCTGGTATTTGCCAGTTTGTTGTAGCTTGCTGTACTAAATATTTTTTGTTCTTTAATGCATGTCAAAATGTGCATCGTTGGGCGGCCATATTGAACTCTAGTAGTTTCCAAGTATAGTTCTTTAAAATCAGCGTAGCTGCTCAGGTTGTGCTCAGAAAGTGCTGCAAATGGACTGGACACATTAGTGTTAGACTCTGAACATTTCATGTTCTTAAGTGCTTATCAGAAGTCGCATAGTTTGGTGGAAATTTTGGATTGAAAAGTGCAAAAATGCGATATGTGATCAGGACGGCATAAAACAGCATATATCTCTGTCGGTATTGACCCAATAGCTTCCATATTTGATATGTGACTGTCATGAGATTCCGATCATATTAGATTGTTGTTCAAAGGGGATATTTCCAACCGTTTGGTAGCCTTCTTAGATTTAAAATTATTTTTTTATATTGCCATAGCAAAGAAAGGTGAAAAGCGAATGACTTGACATTTATACTATTAGTAGGTACCGGTACACTCAACGGGATGTTTTCTGCAAAATCTCAGTATTGTATGTCCAATAGTTCTGGAGAAAATGGGAAAGCGGATGTTTGGTGGACAGACGTCGGACATCGTTATCGCCAAGTTTGACCATCCCATATGATACACAAGGTCTGGGCAAAGCAGAAACACCAATTGCTTTCAGCCAAGAGGCAATAACAGCGGCATATTAGCTCACAAAAAAAGTACTTTTTCTTGTGGCGGACCAGTCAAATGACCTTGTGACCTTGACCATTAGAAAGTTTGGGGGGCTTGCTATCAAGTCCAGGGGTCAAAACACAGAAAAAAATCCCAAATAAGCAACTTTTATTAGGGCTCCATGCCTCCAGGCAAGGAGACCTTTTGTAGTTGTTCAGATTATTACTTATTATTCCGCCATATATTGTACCAAACATAGCTCCTAAACCAGTGCTCAGAATTGCTTTAAAAAAATCACCAAGATGCCCACAGCGCTGAAGTCAATTGTTCCAAAAACTCAGGACTCTAGGCCCAATAGCTTGGTTATACTTCCAGGCCTCTGACTTTACCAAAGTGTACACCTGCTGATTATGTACTGCTAACACTTCACCACTTCCGCGCAAGAGTCGACTAACGAGATTGGGTGATCAGGATTGCAGACTTGGTTGACACATGTCATCGTATCCCAATTGCATAGATCGGTGCCCAGGATGTTGATCACTAGATTGTCTGGTCTAGACTCTATTATTTACAGACCGCTGCCATATAGCTGGAATATTGATGAGGGCAGCGTTAAACAATAAACAAACCAACTTCACCACTTCCAACATGGTCATTTAGGTTGGGAGACTTCGTCCTAGTGTAATACTGTTCCTTTTTCAGCCCAAGCAATTGAGAAGAGTTTAAAACTCATCAGGCATGTTTGGGTTACAGCAACAGATGTGGAGTCATAGATAAAGTTTTCATTGAGAAAATAAATTACCTTCGAGTGTTTTTCACAAAAATGTCAAACATGTGGGCTTGTGCCAAGGCATGTATATACCTCACACTAAAAAAGCCAGTATAAGAATATTCATTGCAGTCTAAATCACAGTAATTTGTTCTGATTAAAATAACAAAATTGTATAATTCTTTCTCAACACAGCTCTCTGTTTAAGTATATGAAATATATGCCTTTACAATCGGACCCCATATGGAGGACATTTGCTAGTAAAACATGTACAATTTTATTGATAGATTCACAAAGCGTTCATAACATTACGACCTGTCGTAACTCTATAGCTGACCATAGGCTTACGGATGTCTTAGCCCTACAAACGTTTTGTGTATTGGCACCCAGGTAATCAAAATGATGTATAGGAGGCTACTTTGATACCCAGTATAGTAGCCACAATGCATGTCATCTGTCAAAAACTGAAGATACGCTATAATGAATGAACTTAAAAAACTATGTGAATTCATATTTATTTGACATCCCTTGTTCCCATATGTTTGGATGAACATGTAAACTTGGTGTTGACCTCAGTTACCCAGAGTTCTATATTGCTGAGCTAAGCAGTCCACAGTTCAGTCTCTTGAGATAGGATTGCACTCTTACATTCTGAGAAGACATGTGTACACTGACAACAGATTCAGCAGAAAGGCACCTGTTAAGGGGCTTAGTATGTTTGCTTAGGTTTTCATCCCTTATCATACTGTCATGGCATGATATAATTGAAAACAGTATTAACACCAACTCATTCATTCATTTATAGGCTGTTGGTTAATGAAAGTCTGAGGTCTCTCAATATTGACTTCCAAAAAGCCTGTGAACATGTACAATAATCTGAGTAATCATGGAAATCTTTTTGGAATTCAAAGAAATTACATATGCATGATCTTTCTTGTCGGAACACATATTATCTGGAAAGTAACTATGAAAGTGATGTGATTTAGAATCATTTTGTTTTTCTTCCACCAAAAAGTATGGTAGAATATTTGTGATGCTGCTTTGCCGGAAATTAGTTGTTTTTCACTTCATATCTGAAATTGAAAGTGAAAGTCACTTAGTGTGAAGCAGATATCTTGAATGCCTTGAAGGAGAAAGTTGTCAAAGTCCTCCTTTGCTTTTCTCGTATCATATCAGCATTCAATGACCCTAATGATAAGGTAAAAGATAGTCTTTCCTGGCGTTCCCAGCTTGTTTGGAAGACCCTAGGAGCCCTTCAATAACAAACACTATATCGCATGACAGTACTTGTGGTCATGTTAAGGAATATAGTGTTCTTGTGCTAACTTTTCAGCTGAGATCTGTAGTATGTGATCATCAAAGTACAATATGGTAATGCACAAAGTAGATATTTTCAACACTTTGTGATTAACTTTCTGCCTGGTACAGAAAAGGTGATCTATTGTTTAACTCAGAACATCAGAGTCTTGTGGTAAATAAGAAATTTACCCCCCTAACTATAACTATATACCATTCACTATAATGTGGTGTCAAGTTTTGTCATAGTTCATGCAGCAATTAGCATATTAGGCATCCACGTTGTCAAGTCCCCATATTTGGCATTCATGTTGTCAAGTCCGTTTTTGCATATAATTATCAAGTGTTTGGTCAGTAGAGACATGTTTTGTGGAATATGAATTCATGGGATTTAAGCCACTTGGCAATGAGCAGTTAATGGTTAGAAAAGTATTGTTTTTTGCCTGTCTCCCTGTGTAATACCTGTGTTTCTCTTCCAGTCATGTCTACTGCAGTAATGGGCCGAGCAGCAAGAATGACTGGGCTGAAGAAGCCAAGACCTTTGAGGAAATTACCGGAGGACACAGGTGAGTTTCCAGTGTTTGACACTGACCCCAATCAGCTGGTCTGGAGACCAATGCCTAATCACTAAACTGATGGCCTACTGGTTGATGTCCTGCATTCACAATGTTTTCCAAACCAGAAATGATAGGTCATGATGTCAAGGAAGACATGCTTTTAGGTTTCTCATTATATGATTGCTACGGTAACTTTATGTTGTGGTGGAGTAGCAGTGTGCCAAATAGTTTCCAAATTTTGCTAGCCAGTCGGGCTAGCTATGCCTGAAAGTTAATAACCCACAAAATAACACTAGCCCGAAATGTGAATGTAGAAACTAAGCAAAAGATTACAAAAATAGATGAGAATAAGATATTGTCTGCATGACACAGGTTTCATCATTAAGCTGCTAATATGATGAACATTTTTATCAGGCCGTAATCTTGCATGATTATAAAGCTTATTATACCTTAACAAGTCGGAGAGAGTGATATGTTTACAAAATGGCCCTATGAAAATTCACTAGCCAGTCTGGCCAGTGGCCGTGGAGATTTACTGGTCCGACTGGATTTTTACTAGCCATGGGCTAGCAGGCCAGTGGCTCTTTCACACACTGGGTAGTAGGAATGTATTTTACCAAACTGAAGGTAAAAGTATCCCTTGAAATGCACAGTGGTTTGTACTGATTTTTACTGGTAATGGTGGTACAGGGGCTGCTGTTTTTGCAAGTACTTCCATACAAATTTCTCATACTTTAGTATCAATATATGAACTTCACAAGCTGAGCTTGTCATAAGAGCAGAAGTAATCTTAGTCTCATACTTGAACTTGAAGGCTTTAGTTTATAACTGCTTCGGAATTTTGAAAGTTCCAACACTTACCAATACCACCTATGTTTTAGCACCTCTTGGAGTTTATCATGACCCATTTTTCTCTATTTGGCAGACAACCAATGAAGAGCGATCACTGATGAGTGAAGCAACTTGTTTGATGTGTTAGGCCTAACCAGCATGATCACTGATGACCATACACAATTGTCTGTCAGAAGCTTCTCTCCTTGATATAACAAAAACCAAATGGCATTGGTATTGCTCTGATTAATTGAAGCGTGTAAGTGTGTGAAAATTGAGTGAAAAATATCTTTTGGTCTCCTTTCAGACACACAATTTGGGCAAGATGATTTCACAGACAAAGTGAACTTGATTCAGCAAAGAGCAAAGGAATTTGTGAAATCTGCTCATCCAATCCAAGACACATCAGAATGCACAAGGAAGGCTTCAGTGGTATCTATGTTTCTTCTACATCAAAGTGTCAATGGGATGCAGGGTCCCGTGTTTGTCCTGTTATTAGTTGCTGGGTACCTCTACAAAGTTAGTGAATTATTTATGTGTTATTACTTGAATTGGGAAGATCTGAGATTTTTAGATGTCTTGCAGCTGACTTGGCCTATGAGGAAGGCCAGATAAATCCCTGATGTTGGACAGTGTTAGAGGAATCCAGTAATTGACATGACCATTAGCTTTGCCTTCTATGTTTGACTCGTCTTAGGCCAAATAAAAAAATGTTGTGGTTCCGAATACACCTCTTTGAAATTTAGGGTAGTTAGGATTTTTTTGGGTACAAACTAATAACACGTTTATCAATGTGTAATTGTTTATCAAGCTTGTCGACTTTCCCTATCAGAGTGACCAATGTCCATTGGTGACGGGAAAAAACAATGGTATCTGAAAGTTTATTTTATTCATACCGCCTAAAAAAGATAGGGTCGGCACCAGAATTCAAGGGTCGGTCGGGTAATCGGAACCACAACATTTTGTTTTGAGGCCTTAAGAGAATATGAATTGGGAACTACATGTATATAATTCAAATCTTTCATGAGTCATAATCTTAAGGTTAAAAAAATAATATACATACTCTCATGGAAGAGTTTGTCAACATCATGATTAAGCAGTAGTTTCATGATGATAAATATCTACATCTCATTGACACTCTTCAAAGCTGTGTTGAATTCAGCTTGTTCAGTCGCTACAGAATATATTCTCATTGCAGCCTCCAACACCTTTTCACACACTGCCACCCAACAGCCGTGCCCATCCACCAGACATCATCACACAACACTACCCCCAGGGGCGGAATGGCTTCAATAACTCAAACATGTGCAATGAGAAGAATAACAATATTCAGTATACGACTAGCCTACAGGACAATCTGAAGTGCAGACCACCTCCTAGCTTCCCCCGCCCTGGGGAGCAGCAGAGGGGTTGTAGGATGCAGGAATCCAGTAGTACACAGGACAAGGAGAAGAAGAAAAGTTCTTCTTTCACTGGAACTATACAGCTCGGAGGAGGAAGTAATCAAGAAACACTTGTCATTGCATCAACATGCCTGAAGAGTCTGCTGGTGGGTGAACATTAGTTTGGGTATCTGATGGAGATGTGTTATTTTAATTAACAAAGAAGGGCAGTTGGGTAGCCTAGTGGTTAAAACGTAAACTTATCACACTGTAGACCCGGGTTCCATTCCCCACATGGGTACAATGTGTGAAGCCCATTTCTGGTGTCCTCAGCCTTGATATTGCTGGAATATTGCTAAAATCGGCGTAAAACTAAACTCACTTACTTACTTACTCACTCACTCACTCAGTGCTACTGCGTTGCCATTTTCACCCGAAGCATATCTCCTCAACTATTCGTGATAGCTCAGCCAAACTTGGTACATGTCAAGCATGATCCTTAGATGTGCCTTTTGGGGTTTAGACCCAGATATGAATTTTATTTTTTGTGGTTTCCATGGAAACGTGACTTCGGCTGTGGCTATGATGATGTCATCTTGTTGCATTTCCATGACAACAATTAGGCTTCAACTTAATTTGGTGGTAGGAGCGGATCTTAAAAACCTTTCAATACGCTTCTTCCACTTTGCTATGTACACTCCAAAACATTTGACATATTCACAACTAGTAGACATATTCATAAAGAGTATTTTGCCGTTGCAGGGGATATTGATGACTTTGTGTTCTTGTTTTTAATGCATTGACAAACATGACTAGGAAAATTTGATAAATGAGGCTAACCAATTGTTTTTGATGATTGATCGGTTGTAAGGAACCAATCATCAATTATGAGATTTTAACCAATACCCAACGCTAGTTATAAGGATACATGTTGTCATGTTGTTTATATAAACATTTGAATGCTTTTTTCCTGAATTGACAATCTTTAAACATTTGGGGTTAGATTGAACATTTGTAATTCCAGACAGAGCCAGGCAGTGTTAGTTATTACACTTTGAATTGGACCAGCAGAGTGAATATTACTGATATTTCTCAACACATGCAGTGAGTAACATACGGGGAAAGATTGGAAAGGAACAGATTTTTACACTCTTGAAGTGTCTCATATACAAGTGTTGCAAAATGGTGTCACAATTTGTTCACATTCAGTTTGAAAAGATATCTATTTCAGAAAGCTGCTAATCTTTTAGCATGCCACATGAATGGAGAGCTGATTCAGATAGACAATGAGGAGGATGACTCATCAGAGGTGAGTGAACACTGGACAAATTCAGAAATTTGAAAAAGACGGAGGCACACACTCAAACTAAAGGGAATGAAAACATGGATAATTGTCGAGTCAACACATTCAAAGTTGGGCAAGTAAAAACATTGATAGACTGACACAACTGGGTGGCGTGTTGGGAGTCTTCAAGAGACTAAATCCCCACCTTGATCTGCCAGACATTGGCCATGTGTGGGACATGTTCTAACATTTTGAATATTACTTAGATTGAGGAATGTATTTGAGAGATGTAACAATGTAATGATTAGAATGTTGAGATCATGAAAGTGTTAGCACTATTACAGATATTGAGTAACCAATATTTGGCATGTATGACATATGTATTTCCCTTGATACTACCTACCTGACAGCTAATGTTTGTTGATCTGTGAGAATGAAATTTGATACTGTTGGCCAATTTACATTGTTTCATTTTTGCATTGGTTCCATGAGAAATTATTTCGACTCTCGAATGAAATTCTGTTTATATCACCAAGAGAAAATAGCATTAGATGGCACTTGTCTCTGACATAACTTAGTTCATGCAGTTTGGAAGCTAATGTCTGCTGAAATATAAGTCTAGAAAATGTGGCAAGTCTAGATTTCCACAGCTTCTGGAAATGAAGAAAGTCTCAGGGCTCCTTTTAATTATACAGTAGAACATGGATATAGCGAACACGGATTTAGCGTACAAACGGATACAGCTAACAAATTTAAATGTCCCGTCAGTAGTCCTTTATAATATCATTAAAATTATACGCGTTTAACGAACTCGTGAGTAGCGAATTATCGGCTATAGCGAACTGATTTACTAACCCCAAGACCCAATTAACGATGTGATTAGCAAACTCACTCAGTGTCGGCTCAGCCACTTAGCGGTATACATCAACCTTGTTGGCGGCGAATCAACATTGTTTGATGGTCATTAATTAATTAACAAAACAAACATATCGTGTTAAAAGCTTGACTGGTATACAGGTCTTCAGTTCACTCTCGTCACTATGGCAGGCAAACGTAAAGCTATCACCTTTGACACCAAGCTTCAGATAATTCAGGCTGTAGATTCAGGTGTAAAATCTAAGACAAACATCGCTTTCGACTTTGGCATTCAAAAATCCGCTCTCAGTTACATTATTAAGAATCACGAATCTATTCTTGCAAAATCTGTGTCTACTGAATTTGGCCCCGCCCGCAAAAAGTTTAGAGCTGCCAATCACCAAGATGTAGAAGATGCTCTCTACAAATGATTTCAAGGGGCTAGAAGTGAGAACATTCCTTGTAAACAAGTAATACGTCTTGAAGGAGTAAAAGCGTGATCTGATTTCAAACAATGGGAAGCCATACTAGCTGTCGAAGCTCTTCACAGTAGATACTTACGTTCAGGTGTGTTTGTGTGTGATATTTTTGTAATAATAATCATGATTTCAAATTTAATATCTAAGAATATTTTGAATATGGTATATTAACTTTTGTATATTGTTTTTCAGACCGAATTAAGAGCGAGTCAGAGGTTGTTTCATTTGACAACTCAAGGGCACCATGAGACAGAGTCAGTTGATCGAACAAAGAAGAAAGATGGTGGTCACAAGACTGCATTTGATACAAAGTGGCAACAAAACCGACCCTGGTTGAGGTACTTTCGGAAGATGACAAAAGAAGGGAATGATGTTTTGTTCATTATGCTCCAAGTGGAACACCAAGGGCAGAAATGGATCTCAGGTTTGGACAGAAAGTTGGATCTTGAGACTGTCCGACTTATGATAAGGTTTCCCTCCATGAGAATTCTCAAATGCATCAAGGCGCAAATCCTTATGGAAAAGGATGACAAAGTGTCCATTGAAAACATTTTCTCAAGATACCGCGGAAGGAAACTGCACTGGAAGGCGCACAGAAAGTACTGTTTTTCCTAATTAAGCATAACCTGCCACACACACAACTTTGTATATCACCACTTATTGACTTGTGCATAGACCTTGAGATTGCATCAAACTTGGCAATGCTGAATCACGGCAAAATGCTTCACACACTGGATACAGTACAGTGCAGGAGTTCATAGAATGCCAAGCCCGAGAAGTTGTTGAAGAAACAGTTGTTGGGAAGATAAAAGATAGCAGTTCATTTGGACTAATGTTGGATGAGTACACTGATGTCTCGACGGAGAGCATCTTGCAGTTGCTGGACGTTATGTTGAGAATGGAGAATCAAAACTTGCATTTCTACAGAATTCGAAATACCAAATGGAACAGCAGATACGATAGTGAAGAGTGTGAAGGACTATGTGGAGAAGGCCAATCTTGACCAGAAGAAGATGACTTGTTTTGCAAGTGATGGACCAGCAGTAATGACAGGTAAAAGAATGGTGTTGTGACACAGCTAAAGAAATCTAACCCAGCTTTGATTGATGTGCACTGTGTTAATCACAGACTTCAGCTTGCTATTAGTTCAGCATTCAAGTCTGTCACACTCATTGAAAGAGTGGATGAACTGCTGATGGGACTGTTCAAGTACTACCATTACAGCACTGTGAGATCAAAAGCTTGGAAAAGATGCAGCTGTTGACTAAAGAAATGGAAGGCGACCGCGTCAGATGAACCAAATAGAGGCCCTATTACAATTAAGAAGGCTGTCCATACCCGGTGGCTCTTAGTCATGAGAAGGCTGTTCATGCAGTGAGGCAGTGCTACCCATCAATCCTTGCTGACTTAGAGAATGCTGTAGGCATGGGCAATGATAAGAAGGCTGGGGACAAGCAGAGTGTCACTGCTGAGGGACTTCTACAGGCAGCTCAAGTCTTATGACAGACTTTACACTATTCTATTGCTATGTGATGTGTGCTCTTTGTTATCTGGTCTAACAAAGCTGTTCGAGCTGGCTGGATTTGGATTTGAGTGTTTTAGAACCACAAATACAAAGTAGCACTGCATCTTTGAGAAAATGAAAGAGACAAGCCAGGCCCATATCTAAATCGCATTGATCAGCTTGCTAACCTGTATGACCTGGAAAGACTGAGAGCAGACGGACAGATATCAAGGCTTCAAAGGACATCTTTCTCGATCACCTGATACAGAACATGGAAGAGAGGCTGCAGGTCACACCCATCATCACAAACCTATCAGCACTGGATCTGAGGAAGGCTGGAGATCCTTCTTTCCTGACTTTCCATGGGGATGCTGAGGTATGATATATATCTATATTTGATACTGTTGTCATAACATTTGACTTTTAGAAGATTCTTCTTTATGTGAAATTTAATGGAATTCTATCTGGAATAAGATTCATTTTAATGATTTAATTGATTTTATTATAATTACATGTATGCATTTGTTTCTTTTCAGATAACACAGCTGGCAGAGCACTTTGGACTTGACGTCGACCAGACACAGCTTGAATGGAGTCAAGTAAAGGAGCTGTTTTCAGGGGCTTGGCACCAGTTCACCCTCCCTCCATATTGAAGACCCTCACCAGCCTGAAGCCTCAACTTGGAAACTTGTATCCTAACATTATTCAATTACTGTCCATCCATGCAACAGTGATTCCACCAGTCCACTTCTGAAGTTGAGAGAGTGTTTTCAAGAGTAAAATTGATTGTCACAGATCATAGAAACAGACTCAGTGTTGAAAATTGCAACAGACTTCTCATGATTAGCCTGAATGCATCTTCAGCTTCAGACATTGACTTGAAGAAAGTTGTGAGCAAATGCACTTGGCAAGGAAGAAAAGAAAACTGTAAATTGTTGTTTGTGTGTTTTATGAAATTGCAAAACAAATGTGGTAACAGATTAATGTCTCCTTTTAAATGGTCCCATGTTGCAGACTAAGGCAAATGAATTGGCATCTAAGTTAGGTCATTTAGATTTTAATTGCAATAGTGCTTGGATTGACAGATTCAAACAGAAGCGTGGCATCGTATGTAAATCATCTCAAGGGGAAAGTGCATCTGTTGACCCCGACCTCGTCAATGATTGGCTGAAAACTCGCCTGCTGGCTATCTTGAAGAGTACAAGCCTGATAACATTTTCAATGCTGACGAAACTGGCCTCTTCTTCAAAATGAAACCAAACAGAACTCTTCACTTTAAATCAGAAAAATGCAGTGGGGGTAAAAATTCTAGAGAGAATAACATTGTTGGTAGCGGCAAACATGACTGTGAGTGAAAAACTTAAGTTGTTAGTCATAGGGAAGTCAGAAAAGCCTATTGTTAAACATGTTCTAGCTAATGTCTGAATGATAAATTCAGAATTTTAATGTTATGTCAATAGACAAGAATAAAGATTTGTGGCCTCAGCATATACATGTCTCTACATCTCTACAATCCAAGATGGCGGTCAAATGTGAATAACGAACAACGGATATAGCGAACTAAATTTCTTGGTCCCTTGGAGTTCGTTATATCCATGTTCTACTGTATTTTGTTTTTCTTACTATGAATATTTTTTCTGTAGAATATGTTCATTTCAGAGACTAGTTGTTAGTCTTTATTTCATGGTGGATCCGCTTTAAAGGCATGACCTTGATATTCCCATCAGATGCAGAAAAAAGAAATAGAAGTTCACATGCCCAAAGTTCCTGGTCTTTTCAAACCGAGTAAGTAGCAAGTGTAAGGTGTCTTTGTTTCATGAAATTCTTCAAAGGCATTTAGAAGTTGTTGTAGTAATCATTATCCACCTGAAGAAGGGGCAAGAACCAGCCCAGAACGTTGACAAATAAAATCAAGAAGTTGTTATCAATAAGATTTGTCTTGTATCTTTGTTTCATTATATTATGAATCATTTCAAAATCTTGCCACCGAGATGTTAATTTATTATACCCCCGCTACGAAGTAAAAGGGTTACAGTGAGTTTGTTCTGTCCTTCCATCCCGAAACTTTGTCCGGAACATATCTCTAAATGTTTACATGCTAGGTTCACCAAACTTCACACACATGTTAATCATTACCCATAGATGTGCCCTTTGCTACTTTGAAGTAAATCAGAATTTTATTTTTTGCTGTTTCCATGGAAACATGACTTGGTTCAAAGTGTGTTTGATGGTTATCTTGTCCGGATCGTATCTCTGTAGCTATACATGCAAGGTTCAATTATTAATATAATCAGTAAATGGCAAGACTATTATCTAACGTGTATAAAGTTTGGAGTCAAGGAGAAAGTCATGAGAGGTGCTGATCCTTGTCACATTATATATGTATATCAATATCAGTCATTTCCATGTCCCAAAGTGGGAAGTAGGGGTATGTGAGCTGTGCTTACTTCTACACTTGTTAAGTCACACCAAAGCTGTTTAACCCCATAATATTCAGTATATAGCCTACTGGTATCCCTATACTTGCTCTGTTTTGGCAGATTATGACCAGAGGCTCTCTTGCAGCAGCATGAGCAGCAGTGGAAGAAGCAGCAACCGCAGCAGCTGCTCATATGATGAGAGTGAACTGGAGTGGTCACTTTTAGATGAGCAAGACAGAAGTTGTGACCCTCCCACTTCCTGTATGTCTTCTTTTAAAGGTGGGTCTGTACACTGAACGACCAAGCAATCGATCATGTTTTCTCATAATTGAACACATACAATTCTGGAACACTTTTTGCATTAACAATATTTTTCACAGGATTGGTTTTGTTTGTTACATTTCATGAGCACTACAAGCTCGGTCCAAGTCATGATTGAATTTATCTTAAAGAGCCAAGAAATATATGTTCCGAACATACTAGTCATCCTTTAAAGATGTGAAATTTGCAAACAAAAAACCCAAAGAACTACATCGTTTTTTCTTTGTTTTTGTGCAAACAAAAATAACCAGGAAATTTCATAAATGTCGCTAACCAATTATTACCCATGATTGATCGGTTGTAATAAACCAATCATCAATTATGAGATTTTAACCAATTCCCAACACTAGCTCCCAGTAGATGGTCTTCAGGGATAAGTCCTGGTGGTCCTTGCTTGTGTGAAGAAGCAGAAGCATGGGTTTTCATTGGTATATTTTTAGATTTAAAAAGAATTTAGCAATGCACAGTTTCTCTAGGTGGCTATTATATCTAAAAAAAATTCCTTATCCTGACTCATGCTAAATGCTTGTCTGCTTCTTCTTGCGAATGATAGTGGAACACTTGAAATCCCTTGAAGTTCCCTTCTATAAGCGGACGTAAAATCACCACTCACCCACGAGTTACCTACCCTTTCCTCCTTGGCGCCCTTTTTAGTCACCTGACTGGCCATGTTTTGTAACTCTCTCCTTCTTCGCCCGTGAGGACAGTTGTGAGAGCACCTGGGTCCCTGTACGGCACACATCCTTTTCTATTTAGGACCTTTACGTCAAAATTATTGCTGTATATGGCTTTTAGGATTGTATTCTACCATTTGGTTTAAAATTTGATCTAATTTATACGTTTTATGTTCTTTCATCGTGTTTACATTTGATGAAAACTTGTATTTGTTGTAGGTACCGGTTGTCTGCGGCTGATCCACATTTATTATGTCCTGATTGCACTACTTCATGTTCTTTCAGCTCTCGCTGTAAACATTGTCTGAATTTAACCACTTTTTAATTCAATAACTACCTTTTTTCCATTCATAGACATACAAAGGACTGGGTAAGAAGGTATTCACAAGTTAGGTCTAAAACGAGTGATTGCGCTGATAACCTTGTGTTAACTACTGCTCCCGATGTTCATAATTCCAGTGAATTGCTGAGCGTTTTACAGGGGCAGGTCGCTGTTCCAGTGATGAACTCTGGAGCCAATAAGAGATCGTCGTCAATGGAGCTGAACTCTTCGCAGATGAGGAAGACTAGATCGTCTTCAACGCAGAAAGAGAAGGCTACTACCCCTAAGACTTCATCGAAGTCTCTACGCAGCTCTACCCAGAAGACGAGATCCTTCTCTGCCGAGATTCTACCTCCGGAAGAAGCAGACGTGTATGATGATCATCACCATCAGACGCACATCGGGAACCTGCTCGCAGGCACTCCACATCTTACAGAGGGGAGACTACGTCTAAGAATCAACCTTCACGAAGGCCCAGAGAAAGATCTCAAGACTCCAGGAAGGATACACGATCACATCGGAATCGTTCACCTGCGCGCAGTTCGTCATACAGATCTTCGCACAGAAACTCACGTTGTCGTGGATAGTCAGAGCGGGAGTTGTCTAAATCAGAGGAAGAAGGTGAAGTCATATTCTCCGATACGGAAGTAACCTCATGGATTGCTAATGGCCTGGACCTAGCATCACCTTCCAAGGACACAGATGAAGTGTTTACATACAAGATGTCCAACAATGATTTCGACACACTCGCCTTGCCGCCTATCGACCCATTCTCCCAAGTACCGGACAGTCTCAGCTCAGCCTTTGATAAGGCTACCAAGTTCCAGAATCAGCATATCCCGACGTTCAACGCCAGGAAATTCCCCTTACATTACATGGAACCCTTCCTGAAGGCACCAGAGATTGATGAGGACTACAAGACCATCAATAACTCCAGCTATAGAAATTACAAGATAGACGACAAGAAGCTAGCGCAACTGGATACGACTACTAGACGTACCTTCTTTGGACTAGTCAGGTCTAGTGCTATCAACGAAGCACTCATCTCGAAGTTCAAGAACTCCACCGACGAAGATGACTGGATGATATATTCTGCGCTACTGACTGAAAAAGGACCACCAATTTATGTCGGAGCATCTAGCATCCACATCAGCAGGCCTGACTCTCCTGAGGAGACAAGGATTATTGTCATCGTGCACCTGGAGTGAGCCGTTCACCAAGTCCTTATATAGAGCCCCATGGTCAGCATCATCCATCTTCAGGGGAGGGATTGAAGAAGTCATCAAAGAGGTTACACACCTAAATGATAAAGTCCATAGATACCTTGGCAAATGTGATTCGCCAGACGTCCCAGCGCTATTCCAACAAATCCAAGGTTGCAGGAGTCCAGAGAGCCAGAGAAAAGAAGTATTCCAGCTCAAGAGGAGGAAGAGGTTCTTTTCGTCGTCAAATCGGAGTCCCCAGGAGTAACCCAGGAAGAGGCCGAGCACCCAGGGTTGCCAGGGGAACCAAGCGCTGAAGGACAGTTTTGGAATGACTGGAGTCTTCCACCCCCAGCCGTTCCTGTACAACCTTCGACAGTGGGTGGACGTCTTCAACGGTACTGGGAGAATTGGGGAATACTACAGGACGACTACGTATCCCAGATACTACGCAGAGGGTAACAAGATACAGTTGGAAGCCACCCCGCCGCTTACAAGCAACCCGCTGGCCTTCAACCTTCAACTTGCAGATGCCGACCAGACAGAGAAACTGGACGACGCGGGCAAACAAATCAAGACTCTACTTTCCACAAAGATGCAGTAGAAGAAATAAATCAAGGTCTCATCCACTGTACCAGCATTCTTTCTCCCACAGAGGTTACTTGTCATTTCTTCCTACGGCGAAAAACGTCCCCTTTCATTGCCCGACGCAATCGAGTCCAGTGTTTTTTTCATGAAGGCCTCGTCGGGCAAAAACAAATTTGTATTTCACACTGTACCGGTGTCCAGTTGACTTTCCAATGTTAATTATGTTGTTTATTTAAAGAATCAACAAGAAAACGGCCGGTATAGTGGGAAAATCACCAGGGCAAGTGATTTTACATGTGCCACTGTACCAGAGTACACTAGCAATTTTAAAGTTATTTCCACCCCTGGCCCGTTTTTTTCTCCCCAAACACAGCTGCCCGCGTAGTTACTCTCCAACCTAAACATTGCCGCATCACTCCCATCCTGATGTCTCTTCACTGGCTGCCTATTGAAGCTCGCATTGACTATAAGATCCTTACACTTGCTTATCAGTCCATTCATGGTATTGCACCTGTATCTTCAAGAACTCCTCTCTCCTTACATGCCAACAAGAACTCTGTGTTCATCCTCATCTAATCTGCTCTGTGTACCAAAGTGGAAATTCAAATCATTTGGCTACAAGTCTTACCAGAACATGGCATCGGTCATTTGGAATTCTCTCCCTGATGACCTTAAGCTGTCTCCAACCCTTGAAAACTTTAAGCGTCACCTCAAAACCTTTCTCTACAAAAAGTTCTATGGACTTCAATAATGCCTTATTGATTATTAGCACTATGAGCATGTGGAGTTTGGCGCTGTATAAATGGACACATTATTATTATTATTATTAATTTTCCTGGTACTGAAGAAGAATTCCAAGGAGAAGTTTCGGCTCATCTACAACATGAGGAAGTTCAACCAGGAGTATCTCCGCAGACCAGCAAAATTCAAGATGATACATCTTCCTCAGCTCCGACATCTCGTTCGTCCATCAGACTACCTCGCCAGCATAGATCTACAAGATGCGTACCTACACATCCCAATACATCCAGACTCAAGGAAATACCTAAGATTCCTTTTCAACGGACATCACTTCCAGTGGAAGCTTCTACCGTTTGGAATATCGTCGGCCCCCTGGTTGTTTACTCGAGTGACCAAGCCCATCGTCACATATCTACATCGTCGAGGTCTACGCAGTGCTTTTTACCTGGACGACGGAATTCAAGTTCATCAAGATCCCAGTCAACTCAGGCTGCAACTAGACTTCACCATCAGGCTTCTCACTCAGTTAGAATGGCTGGTAAATCTCCTCAAGTCGGAACTGGAGCCGAAACAGGATCTTCAATTTCTAGGAATACGACTCATCACGCCGGTGAATCGCATAGTCGTCCCAGAGGATCATTGGGTCAAGATACAACATATGATATCTCAAGCAATGCTCTCTCCGTTGACACTACGTGCTTGGCAAAGCATGCTCAGTCTACTCACCTCAGCTTAAGACATGACTTGCAGAGGAGGTTACAACTGCGCCCACTACAAATATTTGTGAACGCCCATCTCGACAGTCTGGATCCGCTGATACTACCGGACAGCCAGAAACCATACCTCCTATGGTGGACTCGGAAGTCAAATGTTTGCGGAGGAACCTTTTTGTCAGAGCCGGTTTGCAACACTCATCTCTACGTGGATCCATCGCTACAAGGATGGGGCGCCCACCTCGACAATTAAGTGGCAGCAGGGAAGTGGTCGAGTCAGGATCAGAGTCTGCACATCAACCTGTTGGAGATGAAATCAGTGATCAACGCTTTACAACACTGGTTCAACGTACTAAAGAACGCAAGGCTCACGGTCCACACGGACAACTCCACAGTAGCGTTCTATATCAACAAACAGGGATCAACAAGATCAACAAGTCTGCTACAACTCAGTTATCTCCTGTTCATCATCGTCGACGACCTGAACATCTACATGAAGGCATGCCACATTCCAGGAGCAAAGAATGTCATAACAGATGCCCTATCTCGTCCACTACAACCATCCCCGACGGAATGGATGTTACACCCAGAAGCGTTCCGGTTCGTCATACAGACAATAGGATCACCACTGATAGACCTGTTTGCAGCAAACCAACATTCGTCTCTCGGATTCCGGATCCTCAGGCATGGGCAACAGACGCTTTAAGCATCTCATGGGAAGGACTAAACGCTTATGCGTTTCCACCTCCAGCACTACTACCACAAGTAATACAGAAAATCAAGCAGACGACAACGCTGCAACTGATTTTGGTCGCGCCCTATTGGCCAGCGAGGGTATGGTTTCCTGTCCTCATACAAGAACTCGGAAGTCCAACCCTGAAACTACCAGAGTGGTCGAACCAACTCGTCCATCCACACACCAAGCAAGCTCACAGGAATCCGGCATTGTCCCAGCTACATGCGTGGAGCGTATCAAAGCTTGCCTGAAGACTAGAGGGTACTCCGCCAGAGCAGCAAAGGCAGTGACCAGCTCTACACAGATCAACTCGCAACTTGTACGACGACAAGTGGCAGAGATTTGAACAGTATGCAACGAGGTTAGGCTTTACAGCGGTAAAAACAACCCATCTTCAAGTGGTGGAATACCTGTGTCATTTGCGACAGACGAGACACTTAAAAGGTTCAACACTCTCAACTTACCAGGCTGCACTCAGCACAGTTATCACCATGAAGACGGGTGTCAAGCTGACAAGAGATACTGGCACTACTACGCTCGTTCAAGTTGGAAGACCAACAAAAGAAATTCAACATAGTTCTACAACATCTCACCAGCGATGCCTACGAGCCTCTAGAACGGACATCCTTTGAAAAACTGACTCAGAAAACGCTGTTCCTGATTGCCCTAGCAACAGCAGCACGGATGTCAGAAATACATGCTCTGGACTTTGAACAAACATGATTTGAATCAAGATATCGTGACATCGTACATCTAGGACTGAGAAGGGATTTTATTGCCAAGAACCAACTGCCCGGCCAGCCTGACAGACAGTTCCACATCCCAGCACTCTCTACAGTCCTTGGGCCACAGGATACACAGGATCTATCCTTATGTCCCTGTCAGAGCAGTAAAAGTCTACCTACAAAGGACAAAAATAAGGATACGAAAATTCAAGCCTATTCATCCCCTTATCCACTGAGATGCCCACGGAAGTCTCACGGACAATGATATCGATATGGATGAGAGCCATTATACTAAGGGCCTACAAAGCAGCAGGACTTGAGCCTCCACGGGCCTCCAATCCCCACGAAGGCATAGCCCTGGCGTCTACACTTGCTCTGCATGGAAACTGCTCGATTACAACAACAATGGAGGGCTGCTGTTGGAAATCGGACACGGTGTTTGCCAACCACTACCTCAGAGACATTGCCACCGAGGAGGTCTCAGGCATTCACCAGTTTGGGCCACTTGTTGTAGCACAACTAACGGTTCCATAAAGCGCTGAGAAAAAATCTCATCCTTTTATCATGTGACTTGTGAAAACCAACGCTCTGGAGAGCAAATGGTTAAAGTCCATGCACACGTCCAGGGCAGGCTAGCATGAGTGATAGACCCTGTACTTGTATAGGACATACTCGTACATGAAGAAGGGTCCCATCTCCACTTGAGGCGCGCATCAAGAGATTGAGTTGCAATAGATAACTAATGGAACATTAGTATATCTAAAAATCCACACGAAGATGTCAGAAGTTTCGGAAGAAATCTGACAAGTTGTGGTTCCCCCACTCATCAGAGGAAGTTGAAAGAGCAGAATCATCAGCAGTGCCGTCATAAGTTCCCATGGGGGGTAATACAGGACGTAAATCAACAGCCAGAGAATCCAGAAATGGCCTGACCCACCACCGATTCCGACGGATTCAGCAAGCATTTAGCATGAGTCAGGATAAGGAAAAATATGTAATTTTCTGACTAAAATTGATATTTTATACTTATCCTGACTCATGAGGTCAGCCCTCCCGACCTCCCCTCTTATGGCACTCTGGATTTCCCTGTAAATCCAGGTGTCGGGCATACATACGGAGAGAGTGACAAAACATGGCTGGTCAGGTGACCAAAAGGGTGCCAAGGAGGAAAGGGAGGTAACTCGTGGGTGAGTGGTGATTTTACGTCCGCTTTTTAGAAGGGAACTTCAAGGGATTTCAAGTGTTCCACTATCATTCGCAAGAAGAATGAGACAAGCATTTAGCATGAGTCAGGATAAGTATAAAATATCAATTTTAGTCAGAAAATTACCTTTTTCTGTTGTGATTAATTTATTCCTTCATCAATTTAGTTTTGGAATTACTGATTTTCCTTCATTCAAGATCGTACAAGAGCCAATTCTACAATACGCTACACAGTGAAAGACCTCCTCATGATGGCTAAAGATCCATATGCCAAAGTAGCCCCCAGGAACTGGCCACTTATCAAAGATACATTCCCAGAACTGGTTTCCCATGAGGTGAGAATGTTTTTTAATTTTTTATGTTATGTTATGAAGTAGATAAGCATGTTTTCAATAGAGAAGCATGTTAAGTTTATAGATCTAAATTCTTTAAAATGCATAATGCTTGTCTCGAAATTCAACTGAATTTCTGGGGCAGTGGGGTAGCCTAGTGTCTCCTCACGCCAAAGGCCCGGGTTCGATTCCCCACATGGGCGCAATGTGTGAAGCCCATTTCTGAAGTAATCCAGAAACACTTGTCATTGCATCAACATGCCTGAAGAGTCTGCTGGTGGGTGAACATTAGTTTGGGTATCTGATGGAGATGTGTTATTTTAATTAACTAAAGGTTCAGTGGGGTAGCCTAGTGGTCACACTGAAGATCCGGGTTCCATTCCCCACATGAGTACAATGTGTGAAGCCCAATTCTGGTGTCCCCTGCCATAATATTACTGACATGTTGCTAAAAGCGGCGTAAAACCCAACCCAACTCAACTCACTCACTCACTCAACTGAATTTCTGCTGAGCATCAAATGTTCAGTGAGAAATATTACTCGAAGAGAACTTGTTTTATTTGTAATGTATTTGGATGTTTCTGCAGGGTTTTTTTAGTCTTCCTATTCCTCAAACCTTACACTAATGATGCAACACCTTCATACATTGTGAGTTCATCAAACCCTGTTTGCATAGTCCAGTATAAGCCTGAATACATGTAGCAGCACCCAGTGATGAAGCTTAATACGTTAGAACAGTGATTTCTCACACCCTCTTTTGTTGATGATTTTGCTTGTACCAAAGAATCCTTATAAATATAACATGGTCAAGATTGTGAGATAGATCATTGGTTTGAAAAACCATTTAGTGATTGATCCTGTGAGAATATCTAACTGTAACATTTGAAGCATGAATTCACTATGTCTTAGGAAAATAAATATTAACTTGGTTTTAGAATCAAACTCATCCAGTAATGTTTTCCAAACCACGCTCCCTGAAACTTTCTAATAATTTATACTTTATTTCACACAGTGAAGATCCAGGTTAGAACTGATCTTGAATTGTCATAAGATGCGACTAACAGGATCGGGTGGTCAGGCTCACCGAATCCAATTGTGTAGATTGATGCTCAGGATACCAAACAAGGATTTGTTTGTCTGGTTCAGACTCGATCGTTTACAGACTGTTGACATATAGCTGGAATATGGGCGAGCAGTGTTAAACAACAAGCAAAGTTTCAATCTGTATATTATGCAATGAATTTCACTGAAATAAACTGATATTTATTATTGTGGGGAAATTATATCACCAACTGTTTTATTGAACCTGATAAACCTGAAAGCAACCAGTAAATATTGAAATGAGTTGATTGAAACAACCATCAGCAAGGTGGACCATCCTTTCACCGATGTTTATCATCATGCTGAAGCTTTATGTGCATCAGAGGTAGAAATTGGCATGTTTGTGATGGCAATGCTCACCTAAGGTCATTTATCATTCCAGGCTTTTAACATGTTCAAGGGAGTACCCATGTTATAGCTATTTGTGCTTGCAAACTTAATTGGCTTTCTTGTACTTGTATTGCTAAACATGCTAAAGAGATGTGAATCTTCAATCCCTCAATTACTATTTTGCAGGATCGTTACTTCGAACCATTTGACCTGAAGGCCTGTTCTCCTAGAGCTTTAGGGCGAACCAGAAACTTTGACATCAATGAAAAGAGGTGCCATATGGACAGCATTCAGGAGTTCCGATCATTAGGATTTAACAGTAACCATGGAAGTCGTGAAAGTGATGACTTCTTCTTGTAAGGATGAACTACTGAAGATAACACTTGAAGCTGACAGAAGGGACCAACGTTTCAGGTGTGATGCTTGTATCATGGCAAAGCAGAGGTTAAACAGTAACTGTATGTTTGTCAACATATGTGGCTAAAGGATTATATACATTGTGAGGAAGTAATGTGAATATGAATTTATTAGTTCCTGAGTTTTGTTTCCTGGTTTAAAGAACCTCAGAATGTATTGAAAGTTTATGAACATTCCCTTGTAATCAGATCTTTTTGTGTTCACTTGACTCAAAAAGGGCACATCTGATGTTTTAGACTGAACTGGCTGTTTTCAAGTATGTCAAATGTTTCTCTGGAGCATTTTAAAAAGACAGAAGTCAAAGATGAATTTGTTTTACCCTCACATATTATTTCAACTCCCCAGATAAGCTGGTAAGATTTATCTCAACTTGCATATCAATTTGTTAGATAAGGGACAGATGACATAAGGGCTGAACTGCCAACATAGGTTGTATAAGCTTCAGTGAAAAGGCTATAATGCGCATCTTTGTGAGAGAAAACAATGAAACAGTTACAAATGTCAATCTTTAGTAGTTGGTAAATGACAATTCTTGGACTTCTACATTCTTTCCTTTAGCCTCTGCTGGTATGAGTCTATGTAGATAGTATTCACACTGTTGCCTTCAGAAGTACTGAGATACTGAACTTTATTAGTTTTTAACAAATCATACTCATCTGTTATATTGTCTTGATGCCACATGTTTTAGTATGTTGTGTGTGAGGTTGGGGTCATTCTTCCATAATTTCCTCCATATATCCATGGGCCAGGATTTTACACTGATCAGTAATGGCTAACATTGGTCCAGGAAGAACAGGTAGTAAAGGTTGCTTTGTGGAAGCAAGTTCTTGCCCAAAACTAGTCCTTGTCCCCAAATTATACAATCTTGGAATGTTCTTCTGAGTATTTGTGTTATTAGTTGGTTATGTAGCCTGAAAGTTTGTTCCTGCCTCTGTTTCAAGGAGGCAAATTACAATTATGTGCCCATTGTTTCAAATCTAGAAAAAAATCAGATGTGGCAAGTTGAAAATAAGACAACAAATATTTTAATTTTGTCTGATGTATGTTATATTTGCTTTCTTCACGGTTTGTCTTGTCAGGGGTATGCAACGGGTATAAACAGACAGTTGCACTCCTGACATGTCCATGTTATTTCGAATCAAACAGAACATTCTGAAAACCAGTTGTTGATGCATCCAATGTGTGTTCTTGATGTGTGAGCGTTTTGTGTGTGATATCAAACCACTCAATCTACTAATATTTGTGTGTACTACAGTATTTTGTTGGTTTTGAAAACCAGAAGTTGTGATTTGACACAAGCCTATGTTGATTCTTCACTTGAACCACTGTGGTGAGCATTACACCCCTATTGACTGTTGTGGGGTAGCAGGGAATGATATATTGGTACTGTAGGCAGTGCTACAATAGTCTTGTACATGAAAGTGTTCGTCCGACAAATACAAGTTTTTTTGGAGACAACACCTGTATACTACAGTCAAAACCTAGGAATTGCAGACAAATCATATATGCCTTAGAAGAACAATGACCTACAGGCAAACCTGGATATTATAAACCAACTTAGACACTAAAAACAGAACCTTGATTCAGTCAAAATCAAGAAAATACATACATATGGTATGCACTACAATACACAAAAATACAGAACCTTTATTTTATGGACAGAACCTTTGTACAACAGACTGATGTTTAGACATCTAGGTACTATATACAAAACTTTGACACTACAACGTAAACTGAATCTGAACACCATAGTCTGAACCAAGGAAATACAAACATCATACAATACAGAAAAAGAAACCCCAAATATTCAGACACAGAACCTGTGTATTACAGGCAAATATTCAGACACAGAACCTGTGTATTACAGGCAGAACCTGAAACTGAATGCTACAGATTGAACCTGAATGCTACAGACATAACCTGAATGCTACAGACGGAACCTGAACGCTACAGATGGAACCTGAACGCTACAGATGGAACCTGAACGCTACAGACTGAACCTGAACGCTACAGACTGAACCTGAATACTACAGACTGAACCTGAACGCTACAGACTGAACCTGAACACTACAGACAGAACCTGTGTATTACAGACTGAACCTGAATGCTACAGATGGAACCTGAATGCTACAGACTGAACCTGAATACTACAGACTGAACCTGAATACTACAGATGGAACCTGTGTATTAGACTGAACCTGAACACTACAGACTGAACCTGAACGCTACAGATGGAACCTGAACGCTACAGACTGAACCTGAGATGGAACCTAGCAGAGACTGAACTACAGACTGAACCTGTGTATTACAGACTGAACCTGAACGCTACAGATGGAACCTGAATGCTACAGACTGAACCTGAATACTACAGACTGAACCTGAACGTATTACAGACTGAACCTGAATACTACAGACTGAACCTGTGTATTACAGACTGAACCTGAATACTACAGACTGAACCTGTGTATGAACCTGTGTATTACAGACTGAACCTGAACACTACAGACAGAACCTGGAAATCAGTCTTCTATTCAACCAACACAACATGTATGCTGTAGACAAAAGCTTGTCACCATAAAAATAATCTAGACACAACAGACAGAACGACATAAAGGACTGAACATAGAAACCACAAACAGAATCATAATACCACCGACTGAACTTCTACAATACAGACAAAATGTACACATCAGATATGGCACCTACACGCTATATGCATGCATGTATACTGAACCTAGACATGACAAACTATGTTCCACAGATGGAACTTCTATAGTATGCACAACATTTACACAACAACATTTACAGAATCAGAGAAAACCTATATGCAACATGCATGCACATTAGAAAAGACCAAATGATGCCATGTACATAAGTATCCTGCTAACACAACTCTGCATCTCCACATCCTCGAAGGTTGAATCCCAATGTGATATGTTTTAAATGTGTGTGTGAAATGTGTGTGTGATGTTGAAGTTTGTGGTGTCCTCTGTATGTGCTGCTTTAGTGCTAGAGCAACTTTGTTTTTCTCGTTTATTAGTAGTCTTTGTAGTTCGCAGCTTTGGTCACATTAGCACCTCCATATTCCATTTGGAAAGAGTAAGGACAAGGAATGATAGTTCTTCCATTGAAATTGAATAAATATACACAAAGAACTTAATGAAGTACCCCCTGTATTTTGACAATGATAGGTTTTCAACACGTACATGAAACTTCTAATGGTGACCACAATGGGAAAAACATGTTTTTCTGACCCATATGATCCTTTGACTCATAAAAAATGACAAAATGATTGGAATCCATGTTGATTTTATTATGATAATTGCTCATTTTAAACACACACACACACACACACACACACACACACACACACACACTCACACTCACACTCACACTCACACTTATTTTCATACAAAACCATGTCTGTACAAGTATGGCCCTGGAATGTAGCAACTACCCTGGAATGAAGCAGTTCTGTACAGGAGGATCCCGTTGTTGCACACGACGACCAATCATGTGCCAGATATGCTCCAAAGGGTTAAGACCGGGGTTAATTCAGTCATGAATTACATCAGGGGGTGCTTAACTAAGTTCTTTGTATATATGAGGATAATCTAACGTCTTGGATTAACCGGTTTGAAACGTGGACATGGTGAAGGGAGAATGAAATGTAATAAAACAAGCTGGAATAAGTACTAATTTAGAACATTTTTTAAATTCCCTTTCTGATTATTTGGGGATGCTTATTAGTTAAAGCATTCACTCCTTATGACAAAGCCCCAGCCAGGTTCATTTTCACCTGTGTACAAAGATGCGATATCCATTCCTGGTGACCCTGCTATGGTATTGCTGGAATATTGCTTGAAGTAGCATTTAAAAAAAACAAACTAACAATGGGAAATGGAGGTAAATATTGAACACCAAGAAACTGGATTACCATACATGTTTTTGTTTTCAGGTCATATCTTCGATCAAAAATAACATTCGGTGAACAGTGTCTAAATTATCTTATGCTGAACAGACATATGTTATAGTAATAAGGGAACACAATGGTTATGTCCACTTTGTATTGTGCTCACTGGATTTGTAACTAATTAGTTCTTCTGACACCTGTAATATCAGTACATCTCTTTACTGATATCATGGATGAGGAAGAGTGCCTAGGTGTTCTGCTGCTACAAGTAACAAGCTACATGATTATAACTCCGAGTGAATGCAGGACAACAAATAAGGATATCCATTGTGTTGTCTTGACTGTATCATCCTAAATTACCCTTTTGATACATGATTTCCATGTATTTTACATCATGTTATGACAACGTTAATTTTGAACTTAATGCTAGACATCCATTATTAAATCATACATCATTCCGTTGGTCTTTCGTTTTTTGTTTATAACATTTACTTCATTATACGTCCTAGATATCGAGGATATGTTTCCTTTTGTTTCATGATGAATACCTTAGTGTCATATTACCATGTCACTAACCTCATCACAGAATTTTTCACCTTTTATGGAGGGATGGTAGGGTAGCCCAGTGGTTAAAGCGTTCGCTTGTCACACTGAAAACGGTTTGATTCCCCACATGGGTACAATGTGTGAAGCCCATTTTCTGGTGTCCCCCTGCCATGTTATTGCTGGAATATTGCTAAAAGCGGCATAAAACCACTCACTTGCCCACCCTTTATGGTGGCAGTGTTCAGAGTCAAGTCATACAAGTGAGGATTCAACAAGTTGACTGCCACCATGAGAATACTGGTATCAATTTCTAGCAGAATTTGCCACTACGTTCTTTGTTACTGCCAGGAGATAATTGCTTCTTGTGCCTATTTTGCCAACATGTGAAACTTGTTTTTAAATAACACTGATACAGCTACAAGAGATAACTCATAGTGCAAAGTCTGCCAGAATTAATACGAGTATACTCGTAATAGGCAGTCAACGTGTTAACTACGCTGTGGTGGCAATATGGGGAGGGTATTAGACTGCAGGTATGATTTACATTGTTTCTTTCATTATACAAAGCAGTCCAATGTGTTCGTAGAGGGGTCATGGTCGAGTCATTTTTGGTGTCATCCACGTAGCCCAAGACCCTGTAGTAGGGATGGGATGCCTGTATTCCTGTAAATACTCTGAACAAAACTGAGGTACTTTATGGGCCAGTTTTTATTGAATCACAATCAAATTACATGTGGGATGAGATAAATGTCGGTTCACAAACAAACTAATGGTAGTCACAGGGTCACTGACATTTCTGATAGAACCACGATTTCAAATGAAAAAGGAGTCTTGCACTTGAATGAAATGTTTATTTCAGTGTTGTCATGACGATGATATGCTATTGGTACCATATCTAAACAATACGTAGAAGGCATCACAGATGTTGTAAATTTAACAACAAAAAGATTGTAATGATTGGAGTAATAATACTGAAATACCCTAGTGCCCAATCAAAATAGCACAGCCGAATGTTCTGGTCTGCAACCATGTCATGTGACATGATATAATCGTATTAATTACAGCTAAAAATGAGACCTTAGTTTCACACTGACCCAATCTTATATAATTCCCATTTAAAAACATTATTATAAAGATTAGCATGTTATGAAAACTCCTTAACTTTATAAGGATTATCTTTTTTGTAAGGAAGTGAAATATTAGTTTCCCGTATACATTATACAGTACAAACAAAACTCGTATATGCTAGAAGTCCCAATGTTGAAAAACTTGCAATATACATGTATATACTGAGCAAAATAAGTAGGGATCATGAAAGTGTTTTGTTTTGTTCAGTACACTCAAAAAAAAAAAATCAACAGGGTGATGTATATACAATGAATATTAGCATTAACTAACATTATGAACAATGTTGACAACATCATTATCAAAATGTATCACTACTGCCATCGCCAAAAAGTGACAGTTCTGTATTCTGAACAAAGACACGAAGGATCACAGTTTCACCGAGGAATGCATTTACCAATGTTTACATGATTATCAATAACAGTTTCATTTGGCAACCAGATAAGCAGAGTGATGACAAACATGTTTTGTACATAACAGATGCTGGTATTAAGTCTCTAAGCCAGAGTGCAGTTGTTCATTTTATTATTACATATTTATTTTTAATATTCCACCATTTCTGGTGCCAACTTTATCTCAAGAACCTGAGATACCTAAAAAAAAACAACCTCTTAAACCAAAATACATTTTTATTCTATCACATGTCAGTATAGAAGGGATCTTGACAACTTGATGCTATATTTCATCCTTAAAAACTCATCTGAGTTGATCATGTTAATTGCAAAGGTAAACTGCTAAAAAAAATTCCAAAGCAGAGACATTCATTATTTTTTCTATAAAAAAACTGTTTGTTACTGTGACACAACACAATTTTCAGAGATATTCTATTTGGCATATTCATTTTACATTTGTGACCTTGGTTCTTTAAGTACACATTATTAATGGTTCATGAGGCAGTTTGGGTGGCCTAGTATTTGGAGCATTAGCTCCTCACAATAAAAGCCAGCGTTATTTCTCGTACATGCATGCAATGTACTATTCCAATTTCTGTTGTCATTTGCCAGGATATTGATAGAAGACTGCCAATAATGATGTACAACCATACCCTCTAGTCTGTGTATTGTAGACAGGCGTGGCAGTGGCATCTTCATATTGGGTTTCTAACAGTTCTGTTTAAGAGCTAGGACATATCTAAAACTTGTCAACTGTGTCAAGTTGTGAAATATTAACAAATGGAAACTATACATGTCATAGAATCATAAACATAATGTAAGAATGAAATTGTCAACAATGAATAACATGTAGTAATCAACAATAGTTACAATAGGATTTAATGTTACATCACAAATATATTTAAATCATTAATAATTCAGTGTCATTATTTGATAAATCATTCTTGATTTTTTATCACATCTCAGTATAGTATCTTAATCATGAATACAAACGATCTGAATCATCTTTGAATTTGGCTTAGTTTCAAAATTAAAACATCAGAATGAGTTCAGAATTATGGCATATAATGAGTAGGATTTTAAAAAATCCTGTGTACAAGTGAAGGAATTGTAGCTGATAACATCAATGGCAACAACAGTTGGTCTGACAAATCAGGAATAGAGAACATATGGCCATAGACAACCCCAAATCTTTCCCTCACAGCTGTGATTGGTCAAGTCTAGAAATTAGGTTGCTATATATTTTCTGCCTTATGGCCAAACCCGCCAAAAGATATAATAAAGAATTACTTTTATTGAAATAGTTGTTGTTTAACTTTGGCAATTCGAATAATTCATAATATATTATGATAATACCAACAGAACTCCATACACAATGGTTGGTACCAAGAGAAAGAATTGGGGAATTTTACGAGTGCTTTCAGCACTGCTCATTTTGCATGAATACAGCACAACAAAAAAAGGCTTGCTGCAATTTAACTGTGTTTACCTTTATTGCACAAAATACTGGAGAGACAAATGTCATCCATTTCTCCTCATTACATCACAGAAACAATATAATATTCATAATTTCATGGTTTTTTGTAAAAAGAACTAGTCCTTTTCATGACTAGTGACATACTCTTCTCCAAGTCTGTATCATGACTCATTGAGTGGAATGTCAAGACATTAATATACCCTGAGTACTGAGAAAAGTGAGCACTCATTCTGTAGTGAGTATAATTGAAGAAATGCCTACTGGTACTTAACAGCAGAAAAGATCAGGCATTCGCCAAATTCAGTCAATGGCACATCAATAATTACTTGACCTATACAACACGGTACTGCATCGTCTCGGCAGGTTCTGTAAAGCATCCTTCAGGTATGTATGGATTGTTGAAAATAGAGAACTAATGCAACACAGTAGATGTTTCAAACATTGTCATCTGAACTCTGTTGATGAAAGACAGTAAGTAGATAGGCGTCAATGGCGGGACAGCCTCATTTGTTCTTCCCTCATTCCATGGGAGTTACCTCAATAAGCTTCTCAACCTTCTTACCTGGCTGAAATCAATCGTATATTTTAGTTCTTACTAGTTTCAATTACTGACTGACTGAGTTTGGTTTTACGCCGCTTTTAGCAATATTCCAGCAATATCACGGCGGGGGACACCAGAAATGGGCTTCACTCATTGTACCCATGTGGGGATTCGAACCCGGGTCTTCGGCGTGACGAGCCAACGCTTTAACCACTAGACTACCCCACCGCCCTACATTTCAATTAATCTTCAAAGGCTGGAAATAGTCATTTCACAGTTCAGAGCAGATTCAAAGTTTTTCCTTCAAACCCTCAACAATCCGGATCAATAGCCTATTCAAAGTCTTCTTTAAGATATCATAAGCTAAATATCTTGTCATTATGTCAGTCAGATTAGGTAGTATGAGTTCAAATCTACATGAGAAATCTCAATCAAGCATTTCTACAAAACACTGGTCACTGAGGCAGATAAGCATTGTTTCAAGACACAAGTAAATCGGACAATATAGTTGACGATGCTGATATGAAAACATTGTAAACTTCTTATATACAAATCCTTATCAAACAATCATTCACAAACTGTTAGAATTGTAAAGATAACAACAGAATTATATAATTATTGTACAACAAATCTGAAACAATACCATACCATACATTCCATGGGTCCTATTAAACTATTCTGGCACACAAACTGATGTTGGAATAAGCGTTACAACCTCATATTTTCGCGTGTATTCTTGCATAACATTTCTAGCGTTCAGTAAAATTCTATGATGAAACCAATTGCCATGGTTAAGCTTGAACTTCGTCATAACAATAAACAAATGTAACAAACAGTGGACAGGAAAACTATCAGGTTGATCTTAATTGGGAATTTGGTGGCTACTTGTGAATGGTCAGGTGGCTTGTTCCGCCCATCTGACCTGAGGTGACCTTGACCTGTCCACTGTGACCTTGACCTGTGATTAAGCATTTCCGACCACTGTGCTGCTACGGATTGAGAAGTAATACATGGCTCGGATGATCAGTAAGATGCCAGAAATAAATGCACCTGCAACAAGGAGATGATATTTGTGACTGGTTTTCTGTAAAGTATTCAATTTAATACTTCTGTCTGTTATCTATGACTTAATATTGTATGTACATTCAGCCTGGGTCTCCTATGTACAGATAAAAACCAATGACACATGACTGTTTGTCAAATAAACAGACACCATGAATAATAATTTATGTTACTTTAAAACTGCTTTTATTAAATTAAATAATACTGTTGAGAGCATTATTGACCATACAAAGGGCCAACAATTGGAGTGGGAAGAACTGCAATGATAATAGGTGCCAGCACTAAACGACCCCTGCTCCCCCTACCCTACCCTACCCCACCCCCCCCCAGTAGGTGCCAGCACTCAATGACCCCTGCTCCCCTACCCTGCCCCACCCCAGTAGGTGCCAGCACTCAACGGCCCCTGCTCCCCTGCCCTACCCCACCCTGCCACACCCCCTGCCCCCCCTGCCCCACCCCCAGTAGGGTGCCAGCACTCAATGGCCCTGCTCCCCTACCCCACCCCCCCCAGTAGGTGCCAGCACTCAACGGCCCCTGCTCCCCTACCCTACCCCACCCCCAGTAGGTGCCAGCACTCAGCGGCCCCTGCTCCCCTACCCCACCCCCAGTAGGTGCCAGCACTCAATGACCCCTGCCCCCTGCCCCCCCCCAGTAGGTGCCAGCACTCAATGACCCCTGCTCCCCTACCCCACCCCCAGTAGGTGCCAGCACTCAATGACCCCTGCTCCCCTACCCTACCCCCAGTAGGTGCCAGCATTCAAGGAATCCCAACTACCCCAACCCATAATAACCACTCTGGTAACCCATCATACCCCCACCCTCCAAATCATCCCACTTGCAGTAAGTACCAGTACTCAAGGAACCCCTATCCATACCCTGCCTCAGCAAAGGTAGCCAAATAACTATTGATAAGGGACAGTTACAAAGCAAGTCATTAGATACTTGACTTCATTTTGTGGATAATTGGGATTCATGCTGTGAGAAATAAAATTACCAGGCCAAACAAGCAGTGTCGTCATGGCACACAAAAACACAATCCTAGACAAAAAACACTCATTCCATGTCTTGGAGCACTTGTACAAACTTTTTAGTAAATATTTTAGGTTGAAAAAAACAACAACATCAATAGATAATGATAATTCAAAATTTAAGTGGGAAGAACTGATGAACAGGTTTTCCTGAACATATATCGATATGATGAATTATACAATATATAATCAAATCATATTATGAACAATCTGAAGCTCAACCAACCGGATGATCATGGAATCAAAACACAACTGTAGCTAAGGCTACATTAATAATGTGAAATGTACTTGTTAAAAAACATAGATGTTACCTACCTGTCCACACCACATAGATCCCTCCATAATCACTCGCTATCTCATAGGTGCCAATCTGGAGGGAAAATAGGACAATGTCAGTTGCATTGCTCTGAACAGACTAGTTAACCAGCATTGTGGCAAGAATGTTCTACTTGTCATCTTATCAAATAAACACATAGATTACATGATACCACAGCCTACTAGCCTCAAAGCCTGCTGACCAGATATTACATAACTCTCTGTTAAAACGACAACAGTTTGCTAAAACAGGCCTGTGTGACCTTACCGCCTGTGTGACCTTACCGTGACCCCGATACCGCCGCCCAGCAACAGGACCCCCATGATGAGACAGACCAGTGCCCGCGTCGGACATACCCACTGCCAACCTCCGACCTGCAAAAGTCAGTCAGTAAACACTTTATTTACGATATCGCATATATGTAATATTTATAGGTTGATTATGTCTTAGGAATCTCTATGTCTGTAGTATCATATTTGTTCCAGACACTATAAATAAAATCACAGATTCATTACACTCTATAGTTAACTACTATCCAAATACTAAACTGTCTCACTGTTCAGTAATATGCTAGTATATATAACAGTAAATGCCGCCATCAGCTTGTGTGGACGGAGTAACTCATACTTACACTTTACGGCAGTGAGGGCACCGAGCCAACAGTCGGGAATTCACCTGGAACTGAGACCAAGAAAATGGATTATCTCCCTTGAAAGCTTTGTGTTTGGCAACAGTGTATCTGTTGGAGCACTTAATTAACTTTATTCTCTGTTTAAATGTTATAAATTCTGGACATTTTCATACCAATAGTTCTAAATGTCCATAATCATGTAATGGTAAATGATAAAGATGAAGTCATTTGAACCCTGCCCACAGAGATTCTGACTTACTAGGACCAAGACTTACTATGAAGATCTGGTTACAATGACCCAAATTACTATGAAGATCTGGTTAAAGTGACTTGACACTATGAAGATCTGGTTACAGTGATGACTGACTTACTGCGAACATCTGGTTACAGAGATCCTGACTTACTAGGACCAAGACTTACTATAAAGATCTGGTTACAGTGACCCAACTTACTATGAAGATCTGGTTACAGTAGGCACAGCAGATCCGTCCGGAGCCTGGGGACCGGACCGTCACACTGGCTGTTACCCCACCACTCAAGTTGATCACACGGCGACTGAAAGGGAGGTAATTAAACTCAACAACCAAATCAACAACCTGGAGTAAATATGGCTTTAGATTATATTTATCAAACTTCTACTCACATGGCTGGAGGGAGTATTACAAATAGCTTTCACTTATTGTAGATATGTGGAGAATTGAACAGACTGACTAACAAACATTTAACTTCCACCACCACCCTCCCTACCAGTTCTGTCTTGGGCAGGCAATCCTTTGTGCAGCACTGCGGCAGACAAGTAGACAATTACACGGACAACGCACATATTTCTTTCCAGGTGGCGCTGCCTTGATGGGCTGAAAGTTAAAACACAACATACAGTAAAATCCCAGCAGAAAAGCGAAATAGGGGGATGAATGTGTATTTTCATTGATGTTTTACGAGGGGGAGCAATAATTTTCACACACACATGGGTCATAATGTTCAATTCGCAAATGGAGTTTGTCTCCTTACACCATGTGTAACCCACATTGGGATCATTGCCATTCAACACCCTCAGATCATTGGAAACAAAGTAATGCTGTTCAGTATTTTCCAGTATCCTGAATCAAGAGACACCCATTCACCATGAGACGGATCTGTATCGCAAGTGGCATCAGGAAACATTTAATGGCTTGGATCTGTGCTCTCCATAAGTGCACAACCCTCATTTTCAATTTAAAGTCCAACTTGTTATCATGGAAATGTAAAAGAAATAAGACAAATAATAATCCCAAATGATAAAAGTCAACACTGTACTACCAGTTGGATCTGTATAGCAAGTTTCATTCAGAAATATTCGATGGTTTGGAGTTCTGCTCCAGAAATGTACGCAATCTTCACTTTTAGTGTAAGTACAACTTATTGTCCTGAACATGATGAAATTCTGATTAAAATACATATCCCAAATCATCAAAAGGCACCATGGCTCTACAAGACTGATCCATGTAGCAAGTTTCAACAAAAAATATTCAATATTGACAAACAGACATGCTGATCACTATATCCCCATGTTTTCAACCAGGGGAACCAAAATTACTGGAAAATATTTTGGTTGATCATATCGATGTATTGAATAGTTTACAAATTTCATATTACAGGGTAAAATCTGACACAAATTATTGTATACAAGTATCATTGAAACACAGAATGGAAATAAATGAAAGTCCAACAGGCTGCAAGCTCCTTCTGTCTGTTAAAACAAGTTCAACTGTAGCAAGTTGATATTAAACAGACATTTATATTCTCCTAAGAAACAATGAGAAGTCCACTCAAGGTTTATTTTCTTCGCTCAATCACTGAGTTTGAGCCAAGTTACAATTAAGGAAACCACCTTTAAATATTATTAGCATAGGGTTCATAGATAACTCAGTGTCATGTGACCCCATTAAAGTTCAGTCAGCCACATGTGACCAGCCTGCAGATGTCAAGTTGATCACCGTGATCAATATGGGCCCCCTGTTTTGTTGCTTGGGATTCCTAAAGTTTCAGAGAGTCACTGGAATCGCTAATATACTCAGAGGCAAAAGTTATTGTGACATTGATTTTTTTCATTGCCAATCTTGTGAATGAATGTTGGTATTTCTACCAGAGAAAGAGAGCTGAAGAAACGCAACCAAGTATGCCACAAATAAGATATATCCGAGAAACACGGCCATCACTTTATAAGGCCCAAATACCTGATGCTTATCATTTACACTCAGTGGAGTCTTAAGAAATGCGGAAGTCAGAAAAACATCTTCATTCATCATTCTGCTTCAGACGGGTACCTCACAGTGGGATGTTCCTCGTTGATTTAACGTCCATAAGAAACACGAATGGCACTTATGGTGACACTTTCAGTAATACATTATACTCACCCCAAGCAGACCAGTCCCTTTAACTAGAGGTGAGGTGAGGTGAAATTTGGTTTATCGTCGTGCTTGAGAATATTTCACTCATATGACGACGTGCATGCGTGTGTATGTGTAGGTGCAGCTGCTTGTACTAGCCCAGACTGAAGCTGGTTTTATAGTGCTAGCCCACTGAGATACCATGCCGCAGTGAAGCATGAATACCCCACTCAGACACATTATACTGACTCCGAGCCGACCAGTCCTTGTTGTACCCATTAATGCCGAGCGCCAGGCAGGGACCAACAAGTACCATATTTTAACGTCTTTTGGTATGACGCGGTCGGGGATCGAACCCGCAACCTTCCGCTCTCCGGCGGACGCTCTAACCACTACACCACGGAGGCGGTTCCTTTAACTTGAAGCACCTAACACAGTTTAGACATGATACACATAAAGGTTAGAAGTTTATGGATGTAACTTCTTTATTTTGAGGAATACAACGTATTAGTGAATATTCTTACGTCTTCATCAGGTGAATGACTTCCAATATGAGTTCCTTCATCAAAATAAAGAAGTTGACATCCACAAAATTCGTGACTTTAGAAGCACGTTAGTATCACATAACGACCAGTGCCAACAGACTATACTGACCGTGGCCTCCTGGCAGACTCCACACTTGACCACATGCAGGTGACTCTTCCCCTCGATGTTGATCATGGCTTGACACACCTTGCAGTTGACCATCGGCAACCCCCCCTGTGGGGTGGGGGTGTAAGGTGGGGGCAGTTCATCAGGCTGGATGGGAGGGACTGTCACCTCATTAGAGGACGAAGTTGGTTCTAAAACAAATACATGACACATCATATAGGTCATCAATAATACAGTGGAATTACTGAAATAGTGAGTGAGTTTAGTTTTACGCCACTTTTAGCAATAATCCAGCAATATCACGGCAGGGGACACCAGAAATGGGCTTCACACATTGTACCCATGTGGGGCATCGAACCCAGGTCTTCGGCGTGACAAGCGAATGCTTTAACCACTAGGATACCCCACCACCCCTACTGAAACAGTGAATGTTGTAAAATGAACAATATAATCACAATATAAGTGATTCTTAGCAAATACGGTAATTGCCTGTGAATGAAACCCACCACCATAATCATGTTAATGCTGCATGATTTACTCCAAAAGTTAACATTATTGAGAATTGATGATTTAACCAACTAGGATTGTATTTGTTTGTTGTTTAACACCACACTCAGCAATATTCCAGTTCTATGGACCAGACAATTTAGTGATCAACATCGTGAGCATCATCTATACAATTGGGATACAATGACATGTGACAATCAATTCAACGAGTTGATCACCCGATCCTGTTAGTCACCTCTTATGACAAGCACAAGTTGCAGAAGACAATATGTTCACAGGTCAAACAAAGCATTGAATTTGAAACAATATATATTATGTATATAAACTGATATAGAGAATAAATGACTGAAAAATAGCCTCCTTTGCAAGATGTTTTGTTTGTTGTGTAATGCAGCACTGAGCAATATTAAAGTTATTAGATGTCTGCCTGCCGTGTAGTTAAGCAAGTCAGGACTTGACAATCCAGTGATTGATATCATGAAAACTGATCTTCACATTTGGGACACATTGACATGCATCAACAAAGACAACAAGTTCGACCACTGATCTGTAGGTCAGTTGTTGTTATAAGCATAAATGGAAAAATTAATGGACATACACAGTAAACCAATCCATGTTGCCAAAGGGACCACTTGACGATTTAATCTTATCGCACATCTATTTACATTACTGCTATGTTTTATGCTCATATTCTTTGGTCTCTATCAGTGAATGAGTTTAGGTTTACGCCACATTCAGCAATATTCTAGCTATATGGCAGCGGTCTGTAAATAATCGAGTCTGGACCAGACAATCCAGTGATCAACAGCATGAGCATCGACCTACACAATTGGGATATGATGACGTGTCAAACAAGTCAGCGAGCCTGACCTCCCGATCCCGTTAGTCACCTCTAACGAGAAGCATGGGTTACTGAAGATCAGTTCTGACCCAGAACTCCACAGGTCACTGCATCAGTAACAATACCACAGTTAGGAGCAAAGCAGACAAAAGACAGAAAAAAAAGTTTGAGTTATTCCCCCAATATCCAGCGCATTATCATAAATATCCAGAGGATGACGTCTTACATTGTACACCTCACTGACTTGAGATGCAAAATGATCATTTGTTGTGGTGGTTTGTTGCTAGCATAATGCCGACAGTTTGGCAAACATAAGTGGGGAACATAAGAAATGCACCTTTCATATTTGCTGTGTACATTGAAAATAATGGAGTGCAAATCAGCCATTTGGAATCCTACATTCATGTGTATGTAAAATATGAACTATGTGTGATGCCAACATAAGAATGAGCATTTTAAGATAAATAACCATGATGTCAGAACTATAGCTTTTTCATTTCATCAGTTTTAGGCATTGTGGAGTTGGGTTTTTTCCCCCATAGTTTCATAATATTTATTGAAAGAGAAGAATGTGATATGTAACCACCTAATATGGCACAAACAATCAAATAAAAATAGTAACACAACATTAAGCAATATGTCTCATGAACTGTCATGTCATGTTGACCTACAGATTTCAACATGCTAAAGGCTTGAAAATGATCTGACACGCACCTCCACATACACAGACACATATCAGCAACTCAATATTACTATTTTCTGAACAAAAATTCTCTAGCAACTGTAAATCAGACAAATTCAGAAGCATTTCTCACATGATAAAGATCGGTTACTCATCCCTTACAGGAGCTCCTATCACGACATAATATATCATTCTCCCATTCCTTAGTCTCTGAACATTATTTACAAAACAGTTCTAAAATTATCTTCATTAAAAATAATATAAAAGGAGACCAGATTATTTCTTCATTTCAGAAACTGAGGTAATCTAGACTTGCTACATGTTCTACACTTGACTACGGGTATATTTGTTTCCTGGTTTGTATGACAGACTATAAATAGACCCACCACCCAGTATTCACTAGATGGTGGCAATGATAACTAAAAACTGCAATTCTCATCCATCCTTTTCTATACATAAACACCCGTGTCTCTACTGTACTGTATGTAGTGTTCTTCCAACCAATAACATGCATATTGATCTGATGCCAGTGACGGTCAACACAATCGGTTATCAGATAAACAAACTCGGTCGCAAGTTAGTAACAAAAATTACCACTTCGTGACGAATCATTCCGATTTTGATTTTTTAATGACAAGAGAAGGTAATCCAACAATAACAGAATTATTCTATTTAGTCAAATTGGCAAGTACGAGATGTTTCAGATACCCCAATGCAAATAGTCTGTAGCATAGAATTACCTGGATTCTGGAAACGAACGTGACAGCTAATCAAGATATTACGACAGTGATTTATGACAAGACAACTCATAGCATACCATGAAACAGAACTAGTAAGTTTCAACATGATTACCAAAATTGTTGGGATCATCAGAGTAAGGTGGGGGGAGTTCCTGTGCGTGTTCTTCTGGGTTTTCTTTCAGGAGAGGGGTCCTTTCCTCCTCATCCGCCATCTTGTCTTTTACACTAAAGTCATGTGATCACGGTCATGTGATCTACTCACACGGCATGTAATCCGATAATGTTGATACTATGCACGGCATTGTACACGGTTGATAGTTTAGATAAACAATGTCGACATACGCTGATGAGTAATTTCTGTCTCTAATTTCTTCATGAAGAATGATTAGCAGGGTGACAAGCCACGTTTGATTTCAATTACCCATCACACCTCTGATCGCGTTAATGTGGAATTCACGCGATTATTTCAAGTAGCACAACACCTCCGTCAAATCACAAATAAACTCTGTTACTGGTGTAATCGTTGATTGATATTTTCATAATTGATGCTTATTTCTTTTTAACATGTTTTGTTTGGTAAAAGATCTTTTTCTTTTCTAAGTGACAGAGTCACACGCACAAGTGATTTCCTTGCCTGATTTCCTCTTATCTTCGGTTGTCTATTTCAGCGTTAGGCATTTCACGTGTACCTTTATTGACACACCAACTCATCGATTCAAACACAGATGCTGAAAACAATCACATCCTGTGTTATAGCTGTTTTATTTTATAGGCTTTATTTAATGAGCGTCAAGAGATCTATTTTTAAACATTATCGCCAGACTTCCTGCAGTGTGTTGTATATATAATATGTCTGTCAATACCTGTCAATAGGCATGTATGTGACCTGCATCAGCTGGCGCGTGTCTGTTCATCTTGCGTCGAAACTACTTAGTGTAATGATGATACATAGCTTGTGCGACCCATAGGCCTATACTGTGTTATTGCTGATGTGGATGGCGACACTGTCTACTTGTTAAAGATCTAGTGGGTAATTGACATGCAGCCTTGATTCTCGTAAGGCCATATTTAAAAATATTCTTGTTTCTCATTTTCGCATAACCCAAAAATTCGACCCGACCCTAAGATTATTTTATTTTTTACACTAGAAAAAATGCAACTTTGACTCAAAAAATTTATATGTGCATGAATTTTTAACACTTCTAAGTTTTGATTTTCTATCGGAGAAAGGGTGTAAATTTCCACAGAAATCAAGGGGTTTTGGACATAAAAAAAAAAAAAAAAAAAAATATAATCCGCCCGCCCGACCCATATATTTTTGAATAAGTGATGAGAAACAACATTATTTTTAATGTGGCCTAAGCGACGTATTAAGACATAAAAGGATGGTATTTGTTGTTACATTGTCTGTCATGCAGATCCAGAAACAATAATTTATGTCATTATTTTTCATTGCTATAGGGCCTTTGTTTTTTTTCTAAAATATGTTCATGTTGAGACTAGATGTAAGTCTAGTTGTTACCCTGACTGGCTTCAGGTATTGGGAAGAACGACTTCCCAACTTGGACGTGGGATTGTGCTGCCTCACCATCAAGTCAGGAAAAACACAGTAATGTCTATATAATATTGCCAGGAGGTCGGAGCTAGGACCTTCTCGGAAGAATCTCCATTTACTGAGTGAGATGAGTATGTTATTTTTTAATTATTTATTTTTTGGGATGGTGGGTGGTGTGGTGGTGGTGATGTTTGTTTTGTTTTTGTATTTTGGTGTGTTTTTTTGTTTGTATGTTTTTGTATGTTTTTGTTTTGTTTGTTTGTTGTTGTTTTTTTGGGGTGGGGATGGGGGTTGGGGGTTGGGGGGGTGGTGGTGGTTTGTATGGCTTAATCGGGCTACAGGGTCTTGTATTGCTGAAAATAATACATGTACGTCCTTGGTCCAACACGCGTTCACTGATAGCCATCTACATACTAGTATATTAAAAATGATGATTACACGAACAAGTGTGTCATACGATTTATACGAAACGAGTGTGAAATTTCGTATTGCCCGAGCGAGGGCAATACACAATTTTGCGCGAGTGTCATGTAGGTTGTATGATATACTTGCCCGAGTGTAATAATGTCTTTATTATCCATTTTATTCATGTACATTTGTGCAGTTTAAACACGGTAAGCAAGTGTGACGGTCCTCTTCATTGACGTCACGTTGTTAAATGACGTCACAGACGACGAAATACAGAAGCAATAGTTGCTAGGCAAAAGTGATCATATGATATATATGATACTGGTTATGTTTCACCAATTGTTTTGGACCTAAGACGTATTACATATACTCATGCCAATAATGGTTGTCAACCCCCTCCCCGGGTTGTCTACCCGCCGTCGCCGCATGTACAGCGTCGTGACAAAAGTATTCGCGATTTGGCAAATATAACCATTCGGCTTTGATTGAAACGTCTCGTATTTTGTCTCTTGCTTCGCAAATACTGCACAGATTTTCATGTTTGATACGTCGCTTGTGAGCTTGATATACGATTAGTGCGCATGTGCAATGACGTCATATGTCGTCTGCTTGGAATGCAGAAATCGTCTGCTGTAAACAATGGGCCGAAAATCAAAGGAACTCAACATCAGTACGAAAGAACTAATTGTGGATTTGAAACGGAATGGAAAGAAAACTTCTGACATTGTGAAATTATTAGGTGTACCTGAATCAACAATTCGGTATGTTTGGAAAAATATTTGAATCTTGTTAGTTTCACTGGTGTTTGGAAAGGAGAATTTGGATAGTACAAAATCAGTGGAAACAGGTGATATTCAGTGATGAATCGCAGGTAGTTATTGGTCAGAATGGAAGAGTTTTCGTTTGGAGAAGTGCGCATGAAGCCTATCGTCCCGAATGCATGATTCACTCGAAACAGGCCAGGTTATCAGTTATGATCTGGGGTTCTTTAACTTGGTACGGTGTTGGCACCTTGTGTCGGGTTAATGGTAATATTAATGCTGTCAAGTATCGTGAAATACTTGAAGGCAACCTCTGGCCCGTTATAGCTCGGCACTTCAACAACAAACCATATCGGTTTCAAGATTACAATGCTCCGGTGCATCGGGCACGAATTATTCAGGAATACAAGCGTGACAATGCTGTAAATTGCATGACCTGGCCTGCACAGTCTCCCGATATCAATATTATTGAAAATGAACACTACAATATTATTGAAAAAGAACACTACAGCGACGATCACAAACTATCCTGACCACTGACGAACTGTATGATGCCATCGACGATGTCTGGACAAATATCACTCTACACTATGTTAGAAACTTATATGAATCAATTCCACGACGGATTATGGCCTGCATACACTCCAAGGGGAATTTAACCAAGTACTGAGGTGAGACATAATTCTTTTTTTGAAATATCGCTGTTTAATGTTTTCATACGGTCATGTGTTTACTTCCGCCATTTTGAATTGTCGCGAATACTTTTGTCATCACGCTGTAACATTGCGAACGTTGCCGTGTCGCTGTTTAATTGTGAGTCGAACTGAGACATTATATCTGTCGAAAAACATAAACGCAATGTTTCCACCAGTGATGTTAGCCGAATGAAGCAGCTGGAAACCAAGAAACGAGGTGCAACGGAGTAGTTTACTGTAGGAGGCTGTACGAGGCGATGACAACTGACATGCATCGTGACGTCGGTTACCATGGCAGTGACGTCATTAGTGTGACGTCATGCAAATATTGTACTACAGTACAAAACTCTTCCGCAACCTCTTTATGAAACCGGTTTCGGTTTGAAACCAAAAACATAACAAAAATACGCTATTTTGTCAATTTATATGCATGTAAGACGTGGGTAATAAATAAAATACCACACTCGGCCTCATTACATACGAATTATACGAAACTCGTGAACTCGTGAAGGACACTCGTTTCGTATAATTCGTATGTAATGAGACCTCGTGTAGTATTCTCTATGTATGTAGATGGCAATCAGTGAACGAGTGTTGGACCTTCGTATTTTTTTCAGTAATACAAGCCCCTGTGAATTGGGCCACACGAATCGGAGGTGTTGTTCCACTTTCTATTGCATGCCTGCCAGCATAGTGCGCGAGGAGGATCCAAAGTAATGAGTGGCGCGTGTAATGATCAGGTGAAACCCACGATCACGGATATATTGCTCATAATTAGACTGAATATGGAGTTCAAACCAAAGATGGGCTGATTTAACCGGTCTTGTTTAAATGTGAGATTGCATTTTCCAGATATAGATGACTATCACATGTATTGACTTTTAAAAGAGGAAGATATATCATAACCCCGAAGGAGTATGAGTGAGTGAGTTTAGTTTTACGCCGTTTTTAAAGCAATGTTCCAGCATTATCAGGGAACACCAGAAATGGGCTTCACACATTTTACTCATGTGGGGAATCGAACCCGGGTCTTCGGCGTGACGAGCGAACGCTTTGACTGCTAGGCTACCCCGCAGCCCCCAGTTTATTGTGATTTACTGCTATATAGTGATGCAAGAGAAAGGTTCCAAGGATCCTTGTGGTTTGCAAAAATGCACTTTGAATCTGAGAATCTGCTACGGGTTTAAACTTAATACTTAGTGTTATGACAAGGACCCGTTTGAGTATATTGTTTTGATTCTATCGTTTTCATTGTAAGTAAGATAAGAAGCCAGAAATGCTGATAAGCCAGAAATGCTGATAATTACCGTTGTCGTTCTGCGTGATTTTGCTTCTGTCATGGTATGGCGTCACGCTGCACGGAAACGTTGACAATTTGTTTTGAATTATCAAATCCTTGCATTGTATCTATTTTTCATTTCCTTATTCTTGCTACGAAACTCTTTCCATGCATATTCTAAGGGTATTTAGCCATTATAAGCAATGAATAGACGATTGGGTGTCGGACAATTTCAGAAAATACTCCGCGTTGTAAAATAGGAATGTTTCTTTGTTTACATTACAAACAAGCGCAGTCTTTCGAGCACATCGTTTGTTTTCACACCCAGTATCTTTCGTTTCATTTTGAAAATAATATACACCTGTACACAATGTGTAATTTACAGTTTGTGACAGACTAGTCCTACTTTGTTCTCATTTCATCAATCAACGTTGTACACTCCTTGTGCCCTGTATTTCAATTTAATTTAATTGACGTCTCCTGTAAGTATGAATGTATACTCAAAGGCAAACGCTAGTGTGG